TGTCGTTGCATATATCGGCAGTCCATTCTTTTACAGTGCTGAGTGGTATTCCTTGGTGTGGGCATACCACAGTTCGTTTATCCATCCGCCTGCTGCTGCACGTTGAGTGATTTCCAGTTTGGGGCCCTTACAAATGAAGCTGCCATGAACATTCATGTCTGGGCAGATGCTTTGATCTCCTTTGGGTAAACTCTTACAGGTGAAAAGGGTGGCTCATAAGGTAGGTTTCTTTTTACCTTTTTAAAGAAACTTCCAAACTGTTTGCCAGAGTAGTTGTATCATTTTACATTCTTACTAGCAGTGTGTGAGGTTGCTCCCCACCCTCGCTGGCACGTGGCACAGAGTTTTCATTGTGCCTCCCAACAATTACGCGGGGTCGTCTCGCTGTAGATGTAATTTGCACTTCTCTAGTGACTGCTTATGTTGAACATCAGTGTTTCTTCATGCACTTATTTGCCATCTCCACATATTTTGTGTGCGGTGTTTGTTCAGATGACTTTGTTGTTATATTTTTATGGTGGTTTGTTTTCTGAATACTGCGGTTTTAGAGTTCTTTATATGTTTCAGACACAGGGCCTTTGTCAGATACATACTTTGCAAATATTTTCTTCCCATTGCGTCTTTGTCTTTTTATTCTGTTAACAGTGACTTCCAAAGACCAGAAGCTTTAATTTTGACAAAGTCAAATTGGCCCACTATATAATAATGGAATGTGTTTCTGGGGTGATATCTAAGCGATGCTCGCATATCACAAGGTCACAAAGAATTTTTCCTGTTTTCTTCTGGAAGTTGTGTTGTGTTAGGGTTATATGATGACCCACTTCAGCTAACTTTTGTACTGGGTGCCAGGTGGAGATCGAAGTTCACTCTCCTTGCCTTTGGACGCCTAACTTTTCTGGCACCGTCTGTTGAAAAGACTGTCCTTTCTCTTTGTCTTTGGACCTTTGTTGAAACTCAGTTGTCCGCACATTTGTGACTATTTCTGGACTCAGGTTCCGTCATCTGTTTCTCAGGGGTGTGTGTGTGTACGCACGTGCGGTTTTTATCTTTTTTCTTTGTCGTTACCACAGTGCCTTGATTACTGTAGCTCCCTTGCTTTTTAAAAATTTAACTATATTATCAAAATAATTCATGTATATAATAGTTTGAGAACTCAAGGGGCCCTTGATTCTTTCTTGAATTTTAAATTTATATTCTTATTTTTTGTTTCCAAGAGGTTTTTTGAAATAGTCTATAAACGTTTCTATTTTAGGATTTCAGTATCTTATCTCCCTGAGAGTAGTGTTTGTTTTGTTTTATTTACTTTGGAAGTTTCTCCTCTCTTGCCTCAGACTGCCTTCCCCTCCCTGCCTGCCTTCTTTCACTGCGTGTCCTGCTAGTGGCTTTCTTTAAAAGGCTGAGGATTCTGGCTGTGCGTTCATAGTTAAGAGTGAGGCAATAAAAAACATTCACTGCTCCGGCTTGTTGGCTGGTGGGCTACCCTGCATGGGGGAGCTGGCAGGAGTAGGGCCATTTTGTTGGGGGATCCCCAAATGTCAGATCGCAGGTCTCTTGTGGGCTGAGCTGTTTAATCTGTCCATGGGAAGGGGTGGACACATGGACCATCCGTCACTGTCCTGGGTACCAAGGGAGCAAGGGAGCCTCCAGGAATCCTCCTTCCAGCCCTTCTCTGACCTTCACCCCCAGCTGTACCCTGGTGGCCCCATCCAGAGCGCCGCCCCTCTCCAGTTTTTTTCTGCAAAGAGCAAACCTGTCTCTCGCAGGGTGGGGGACGCCCCGTTTGTGGGGCCCTGGAAAGGGGGGCTGGGATCTGACTGCCTTTTCTTTAGACTTGCAGCCCGTCCTCCTGTTTCCAGCCCCACCTTCAGAAGTGAGTGGCGCCTTAAATTCCCGGCTTTCCGGGGCTCTCAGGCACAAGTGGGATCACTCTTGTTGGCTTCCTCTGGTAGGCGCTTGGTTGCAGCTCACTCCACTCTGCTCAGTCTGCTCCCACTCGGCCATCTGCTTTCCACTTTTGTCGGCTCTGTTCTCCTACTCATTGTTTGGGGCAGGACAGAGATAAATTGCATCCATTCAGTTTGTTTTATTTGACTGAAGGACATTTCTTGCCCTTCTCCCCCTGTTTCCCCCTTCTCCTTTTCTGCCCATCCATTCCTCCGCCCCCTCCCTCCCCGCCTCCCTCTCACTCCCCCCTTCCTTCCCTGCACCACTTTCTTCTACCCTCCCCCTTGCACCCCTCCCCTTTACTCTCCCTTCTGTTTTCTCCCCTTCCTTCCTCTTTGCCATAATTGTTCCAGTAGACAGCCAAGCTCTTCAGGCCCTGAGAAGAAACAGCCCACATAATACAGAAAGGATTGGATGTGAGGGATCCGGAAACTGAAGTCCTCTACCTACAGACCCGATAAACCTTCTGTCCTCTTTCAGCTCCTTCCCATCCCTCAACTACAAAAACCCTTGACAACCACGTCACAGCCCCACCTCACACCCAGACCTTGGTCTCAGCTGCCTGCATCACGTCCGAGCTTTGTGTCCCATGGGCTGCCCCACTTCCGCCCGCTCCATTCCCCTTTTTCCCTGTAGGTCCCTGAGCAGACATGAGGCCGTGGGTCCACTCTGGATCTCTGTTGAGTGAGGCACCTGGCTCAAGTGTCCTGCTTCTGGGGTGTTAGGATGTTAGGGCTCACCAGGGGTGTCCAGAGTGTCTTACATATGCCTGTCCTCCTACTGTCCCTTCCTAAAGGCTCAGGCCCAGGTATGGGGCTGTTAGGAGCTTGGTTTTCTCCTCATTCTCTTAGACTTTCTGCCCTGTGGAAACTGAGAGCCTCCCCCTGTGTTGTCCATCACCACCTCTCTATGTATTGCTATGATTTTTAAAGCAAGTATGTACCCCCTTCCATGGACCAGGCAGGGGCGGGGTTCTCCATCTGGAGCCCCATCTCTCCCTTGCTGCTGGTCTGAGCCTTTCTCGGGGCCTTCCCCTGCAGAGGTAGCTCTAGATGTCCAGCTGGCTCTTCTCTGGGGCTTTTGTCAAACAGTGAGGAGCAAATGCGACCACTTCTCTAATATATGGTCACTCAGTAGCTTTGCAAGAGGATAGAAACAGCTGAATAATGGCCGTCTCCATTCACCAGGCCCCACTCCCCCTCTCTTCTCCTCAGCCCCACTGTCGCCCATTTATCCAGGCCAGGGTGTGCAGAGTGGCTGCTGTCACGTGGAATAATACTCGGGGGTTAGTGCTTCACAAAGTACTTGCAAGTGGATGCTTGCTGGAGGTCAAGGGGAGGTGGGAGAATGTCCCCATTTTACAAGTGAAGTAACTGAGGGTCCCAGAGACCCCATGACCCAGCCAGTGTCTCACAGCTAGAACAGAAGGACCCCATCTGGACCCCAGGTCTCACGACTCCCTACCTGACAGTCTTCCTCTCTACCTCTCGGCTGTTCTCTTCCTTCTGCTGGGCAGTTACTGTTTTGGGGCTCTCAGGAAGGAGGTCATTATGTCCACTGAGATGCCCTTGGTCAGCAGCACTGGGTCAGTCCCTGTGATCTAGCCTAGCTCTGACCTTTGTCTGTCTGGCCCCATCCCCAGGCCCATGGTCTGGACAGTTTGATTGGATTCCTCTGTTTTTTTCAATTTGGTTGGTGCTTCCGGTTGCATCTGACTAGCCCCTCCCTCACAGAGTGCCCATACATCCTGTTTTTCAGGCCAGTGGGTGCCCTCTGTCATGCGGGGGCGGGGAGGGAGAGCTTGCAAATGCCTCTCAGCCAGTCCCGCCCAGCTGTTAGAAGAGTTGTGCCCGCTACTCTCTCCCTAGTGCCACACTGGGAGTGCATGACATATTTATCAGTCCTGTATGTGTGCATAGCATCTCCTTACCTGTCCAGTGCTGGACATCAGCCAAAACCCCATGTCCCTTCAGAAGCTTCCTACCTGCCCACTGTGCTCTTGGCTGACAGGGCGTCTGCCCCTCCTGAGCTCCTCAGGGCTACGTGCTGTCTGCTGCTGCAGCCTGCCTGTCGCACAGCCGCCCGGGATTGTATCAAAAGCACGATTCTGATTTAGTAGGTTGGGGTAGGCTCTGCCCTTTAAACAGGCTTCTGTAGGCCCACCCTGCTGGTCCAGGGACTTTGGCCTGGCTAGAGGGGTGGGGGTCATGGCTACTTGGAGGCCAAGTCACCATAGAAGACATGGCCACAGGGACAGGACACTGCCATTGGCAGAGTGTTCGGCCCACCAGGCTGGGGACAGTGGCAGAACTAAGTGTGGCATGGAGCTGCAGGCTCAGCTCCTGCTCAGCCCACGTGCGACCCTGACCCTACGGTGACACCTATCCACCTGCAACCGAGCCTCCAACTGAAAGGGACCCCTGAGGGGTCTGCACTGCGGGCTCCTACCATTTAAAAGTCTCCTAGTGTCCCTCTTCCCTTCCCTGCCTCGTCACAAATACCACCTGAAAAAGAGACCTTTGGGTTTTTTTTTTTCTTGTTTTCTGTTGAGTGAGGGAGGAACTGAGTGAGTGTTGAGAGCAAGTGGAGATGAACTGTGTGCTTTGTCGCCTTCTCAGTGTCACCATGGTCCTCCCATTTGCACTGAAAGAGCTCACTTTTTTGCTCAGCCCTGCCTCCCCTGCCCACCCCCACCTGGCTCGGGGACCTGTTCCTGTTCAGACCGTGACTCAAATGCCATCCCTTTCATACGGGGGTGGGGTGGGGAGGAGGACTCTTCCCAGGGCCTGCAGGGTTCCAGGCCCATGCTGCCAGCCCTGGGGAGGCCTCAGCCTTCCTTGGTGGGCCTCTGTGTTCTTCTTCTGGGATCCTGTCCAGCACTAACAGTTAGCGGTTCTCTGATCTCCGGGCCCTCTGCGTCTGAGAGAGAGGAGCGGGGGTGGGGCGGGCTTTCTGAGTCCCTGCCAGCAAGCTCACTAGGAGCAGCAGGCAGAACTTAGGGGAAGACGAGCCAAGTCCACTTCACTGTCTCCTGTTGCTCCTCCCCACCCCGGCAGGTCCCTGGATGGCCGACTGCAGGTGTCCCATCGGAAGGGGCTCCCCCATGTCATCTACTGCCGCCTGTGGCGATGGCCCGACCTGCACAGCCACCACGAGCTGCGGGCCATGGAGCTGTGTGAGTTCGCTTTCAACATGAAGAAGGACGAGGTCTGCGTGAACCCCTACCACTACCAGAGGGTAGAGACCCCAGGTATGCTCCCTGCCTCCCCCAACCCGCTCCCTCCTCTTCCTGAGGGAGGGTCTGTGGGGCATTTGGGGGTGCAGGGGCTTTGGCATTGATGCTGATCCATCTGCTCTGTCTCCTCCGGGCAGTTCTACCTCCTGTGCTGGTGCCACGCCACACAGAGATCCCGGCCGAGTTCCCCCCGCTGGACGACTACAGCCATTCCATCCCCGAAAACACTAACTTCCCTGCGGGCATCGAGCCGCAGAGCAATATTCCAGGTAGGTTCCTGGCAGTGCAGGCTGGCCTGGGGACGTTGGCCCCACCGCTCCACCCTCAGCCCCCTGGGCCCTCCCCATCACCCTCTCTGTGCACACAGAGCTGGCCCCTGGCTCAGGACCGCATCCCTGTTGGGAGAGGACCCTTGGCCTCGCTCCACACTTACTAATGATGCTGTTCTTGGCGCGGAGGAGCAGCGGCGTGACCCTTCCTCCCGGCCTCAGTGCAGTCATTTATTTTGGAAACGGAAATAGCAACACTGTGTTCCTCCCGCTGCCCTGAGGCCGGGGTTGAAGTTCAGGCAGGATCCCTGACTGTTGGGGGCTGCAGAGACAGTGGGGGCTCTGAGTCAGGGCTGGGCAGCCAGCCTGCTGAGCAGTTACAGCCTGGGTGGGGGTGAGGTCCAATTCAAGTTTCTCCTCCACAGGGAGAAGTGGGCTCCATGGTCAAAGAGTGCAGATGTTTTTAGAAGCCCTGCACTTACATGCAAATAACGTGTGAACCAGCAGCACTCTCAGAGCCCAGGAAAACTGCTCGGCGGCCCTTGGGCGGGCTACCTTGCAGGGACTGAGGCCGCCAGCAGTAACCACGCCGCAGTCCATTCAGAGCAATCTGATTTGGATGGGCCTTCATCCTGAGCAAGTTTACTGAGCCGGGGTTGACCCCAGGCCAGTGCACGTGGGTCGCGGCATTAAGGAGAGACCCGATTCACAGGCCCGTCCTTTCCAGATCTTGCGCAGGCGGCACTGGTTTCTGGGGGGGCAGATCACCTACTTTGTTCATTCAGTGAGCCTTAGAGAGCTAAGTCAGGGTCTGGGGGTCATTCAGAGAAATAGATCAGTCTCTCTGGCATTGAACTTGGAACCCACTTGGGAAGCTAAGGCATCTCTTAAAGAGAACAAATAACAAGGCCAGTGTGGTTTGAGGTGGTCGCACTTTAGGGACAGAGGTGGGCAAGGCTGAACCAAGTCAGCAGTCTCCCTGGCAGTGTGGTCTTAAACCTGACCTTGAACGACAGGGGAAAGTTAGCCTGGCAGAGGCTCTAGAAACAGGCGTGTCAGACTTGGGAGTCTGGTGGTGTGAACAAAGATGGTGATGAGGTGATGGTGTGTGTGTGGGGGGGGGGGGGTCAGTGCTGGAGGCGGGAGGGCATGAGGATAGCAGGATCCAGGAACCATATCCTTGCTTTGAGGCCCACGGTTCATTCCTCCAGCACCTGCTACCAGCATAGGGGCGTGAATGTGTGATGAGTTTGCAAAAGGTCTCTCTCCAAGCCATGCAGGCCATTTAATGAACCACTTTCCTCCTGGTTCCCAGAAACCCCACCCCCTGGCTACCTGAGTGAAGATGGAGAGACCAGTGACCACCAGATGAACCACAGCATGGACGCAGGTCAGAGTCTTGCAGGGACGTGCTCTTAACCCTGAGTGCCTGCCCTCCCTCCCTCCCCCTTCCCCTCTCCCTCTGTCCAGTGTGTATAGAGCAGACACTCTGTAGCAGGTACTTGGGGTAGAGGAGGAGCCTGAGCTGTGCACAGTCATGGGGAGACCGACAGGACAAGCAGCAGTTACTGTGCATCGCATATGTTCCCTGATGGAACATGCCACATAGCATCAGGGGCGTGGAGCAGGGACACCTAACCCAGCCCAGAGAGGAGGTGCTGGGGACAGAGCAGCACCTTGCAGTGTAGGTTTTTCTTGCGTTGAGTCTTAGAGCTGTGTAGGTGTCGGCCAGGCCATCAGGTCCGGCAGAGGCAGGAGAGCCAGGTGCATTCTGGGGACAGTAAGACTCAGTGTGATCAGAGCTGATTCCCCTAGAGTGGGGAGAGACAGGAGAGCGCGTCACTGAAGACCAAGTGTGGCCAGAAGCTGACAGGGAGCCGAGCAGAGCCCGCGCCTCGGTGAGCTGTAGCCGGCAGCAAGGTGGAGGGTGGGCTTTGTCACCAGCAATAGTTCCAGAGAGTCTGGGTGGAGGGATGGTCTTTGCCATTGGCCAGTCGAGGCCTCTGAAGTATCTGTTTTCGTGTGGTGACCAAATGTGATCTGTGTGTTCCTACTGCGAGGGACCGAGCCCAGGCACCTCCAACCACATCTCCAGATGTCCCTGTGTCATTTATTATGGGACCACATCGGCTCCAAACTAGTGGTTTCTCGCATTGGACCCCAGCTGCCGCATGGAATGTGCTCTGCGTTGTGTGTGGTTGGGTGAGGAGGAGGAGAGAGCCAAGCAGATGTTCCATTCCGATGATGACAAGCGTGCCTTGCACCCACGGAGCCGCTACACACAGCACAGCCACCTGCCTCGCACACAGCCCGAAGGACAGTGTGCAGTTTCTGAAAGATGGATGAAAGCAGCTCACGTGTTCATTGTAACATGCAGTTGCTTGATACCTAGCCTGGGCATCATGGCACTTCGGGGCTTAGCACTGCCCCCGCAGACACCCCTCTGGATGAGTGGCCAACAGTGTGAACCCAGCTGGAATGCTCTGAAGACTTTCCTGTATCCTCTGCCAAGTGGCCGTGGCAAGCTTGCAGCCATTAAATGCTGGCATGGGAGGCAGGCCAGCTAAGTAGCATCTCTCCAGATGCTACAGTTCTTCTCCCTCTCCCTTCTCTCTTCCCCCCTTGCTGCTCTCCGTGCTTGTGGAATGATCACTATTTTAAAGGAAAACGAACTGAAGGGAAGGATGTGTATATGGGCTAAGCAGCTGCCTTTCCGCCCCTCCTGCCCCTCCCGCCCCTCCCTTCTTCCTCATCTTCTCTGTTCCCTCTCCCGTCGTCCTCTCCTCCCATGAGTGTGCTTGCAGAGCCTGCTGTGAACAGTAGTGACTTACTGAAAGTAGACACTGGCCTTTGTGGACCCCAGGGAGCCTGTGGGTGACTGGGTGGGATCTCCTGTTTATTCCCCATTCTTCACTCAAAGTGGTCCATTTGGAAACCAGTCCAGGTGCTCTTGGACAGCTGGAATGTGGTGGCATCCCGGCTGCAGCCCGAGGACTGCCTTGTTCAGCTCTGTGTCTACACACACACACACACACACACACACACACAAACACACACACACACACACACCTCTTCAGATCAGTGGGAAGGTTCCACAGCTTTCCTGGGTCTTCATGAGCCACCACAAAACAGGAAACCAGCATTTATTGAGTGTCTGCTATGTGCCAGTCATGGTGTAGGCATTTTTATATGCACAAAATCACTTCATTTCTACAAATCACACAATGTAGATGGTATTATTTCCAATTTATGCCTGAGGGGAAAAGTCAGGGCTCAGAGAGTTTAACCACTTTACCAAGGTCCCACAGCTCTGACCCAGAGCCAATACGGGACGTGTCCAGACCCAATATGGAAGCTCTACTTTTTGGGACTCTTCCATCTCTCCAATGGATTGGTGCTGAGGGAGAAAAAGAACCCCATGGCGGGAGCAGGAAGGGGCCCCATTAACAGCTCAAGGAGGCATATGCGTGAGGCCCAGCTTCGAGGACTGCTGCATTGCGGGGTGGAGCCAGCCCCACAGGGCAGCCCACCGGGCTTCAGAGCCCCGTGGGTGCAGGGACAAAGAAGGGGCGTGCCCAGTGTGCTCTGTGCAAAGGCAGTCACTGGGTTTTTCGGAATGTTGATACCACATAGTTTTTTGTTTTTGTTTGCTTTCTTCCTGGAGGTGAGGGGTGGAGAGAAGGTACTAGAGCGGGAAGGGTTGGGTGGGTTCGGACTACTGGCCACGTGCGGCATCTTGTCTCACATAAAATGTCGGTCCAGTCACTGAGGTGTGGGGTTGCTGCAGCAGCTCGGGGAGTTTCCTGAAGCCTGGGGCAAGGGCCGGAAGGGAGTTTCCAGGTGTCCGAGCCCCTGGGAGCAGTGACAGTGACTTCTGGGCCACCAGGCCCCACCTGTGTGGAAGGGCTGGCCTTTGCTGTCTGGGTCTTTGAGCAGCTGGGAAGGGGGCCTCCCCTGCCCGTCTCATTTTTGTGGGGGCACAGTTAACGGGACAGGCAGGTGCGGTGTAGGTAGGGTCCCCAGATGGGAACTTGGCACCTCCATGCTGTGGGTCCTGGTGAAGAGCATCAGCTGCCCAGTCCTGGCAGAGACCTGGGCATCATCCGCTCCTCCATGTGTTTGTTCCACAGGGGGAGCGACCTGGGGCCCATGGAGGCAAAGTGCAGGCGAGGATGGGGCACTGGGCCTTCTCCTGGGCCTTGGAGCCTCAGCCCAGGGTTTCTTTCCGCCGCGTCGAGCTGTCCCACCTCGATGTCAGTAACTGGGTTCTCCAACCAAGAGTCTTTTATGAAATCTCACACCTGTGTCTTATCCCACAGGTTCTCCAAACCTATCCCCGAATCCGATGTCCCCAGCACACAGTAACCTGGGTAAGTGTCTGCTTGTCCGGATATTCCCTCTACCTGCAGCCCTGGCTGGTGGCCAGTGTGGGGAGGGGTTCTGAAGGTGAGGCTCCACCCCTAAGCCCCCACCATGGGCTGGTTCAGCCCATCAGGTTTCTGGTTTCAGGGATCCTGGGGTCACCCCCAGAACGGGAAACCTGGGGACAGTGGTGTCAGGAAAGGCAGCCCCAGGCTGGGGGTGTGTCCCCCTGGGTGGTGGTGAGACACGAGCGAGTGGGAATCCCCCAGACCTGTGCTCAGGGGCTGAGGGGTGTGGTTGTTTGGATGCAAAGCCACGGGTGGCAGACTCCAGCCCCCGACTGTTGTAGACTCGTTCCAGATTTTATTTCGTCTTATCTCAGCATTTCCATCTTATAATAATGTAGTTTTTATTCAAAACAGCCACATATAAGGAACTTGGGGGGAAAAGCAAAATTGCCCACAGTCTTTTCGCCCAAACCCACTGTTTTCTGTTTTATCGTAGTCCTTCTGATGTGTGCGGGTCAAGCACACACATTTGTGCCTTTTGTTGAGATCTTAGTGCATGTCTGTCTTTTCCATTTTTTCTCCTTTTGATGTGTTCTTGTAGACACAGTTCTGTATTACAGTGCCTCAGGTATCATTTTGCACTAGCTGATGACGTTTTGGAGCAACTGGACGCCCAGTTCCACACCCTGTCCCCAGTCGTTGGACTGCTGGGTCCCTTTTCCAAGACCTGCTGTTCTGCTGCTCCGGAGCAAACCTTGGCTCCAGCATGGGGCCTGCAGAAGGGCTCAAAACAAGTGAAACGTCCGTTCCACTTTTATCGAGGGGAAATTTTTATGGGCTCGTCTGGTCGTTTTAGAAGAATGTGAGCTTGATTTTGTTTTGGCCTTTATTGCCAGGGCTTCATGTGTGGCTAAGGAAAGAAATGGTTAATATCCAGGCTCAGTGAGTTAGAGGGGTTGGCCTGTCTCCTGTTGCCAGTTGTTTCCAGTCCTTGACTGATAGTATCAGATGAAGAAAGTCACCCTTTGGGACGCTGGGAGTTGCTTGAAAACCCTGTAATATAGGCTGACAAGTGGGCAGAGAGAAATGTGAGTTTGGGAGATCTGTTTTAACATCTTTGTAAAATAATACCACTGTGGGTGTTGGGCTTTGCGAAGGGAAGGTCAAATTCAATGTGAAAGCACTGATTGCATTAATAAAAACAAACCCTGAGGGCTAGAAGCTGTGTTAACACTTGAGAAATTAAAGGCCACGATTATGGACTTGACTTTGGGCTTTGGCCTTTGAGGTTGGCTGGTTTGGATTTAATTTTACCTCACCATGGCCACGGCACACTTTCACTCCACAGACTTTGGAGCAGGCTCGCCTTTGAAACCCCGCGCTGCCTGACTCAGTGGTTCATACCGACAGCCGCCCCAGGTGGTAGCTTGCTGTGAATTCCCCTCCAGGTTGTGTGGACCAGGATGACAGAAGGGATCTTGAACTTGGACCCAAGGCAGAGTGCCCCATTGACACATTTCTCTTACCCCACTGCCCCATTTCTCAGGCCCCTTGTCTGAGGGTTGAGAATTCTTAGGTCATTTCTTCCAAAGGCAGGAATAGCCCCCGAGCTTGGCAGGCAGAGTGCGTGCCACTCTGCTGGGAAGATCTGAATGGGGGGACGAGTCAGAGGACAAGTCAGTGGACGAGTCAGAGGTAGGACTCACGGTGAGGCCCGGCGCTGACAGGCCTGGCTTCCTCTGACAGATGAGCCTTCCTGCCCCCACCTTCACCCCTGTACAAGCGTGGGCTCCGCTCTGCCTGCAGACCGAGTCATGGACTGCTGGCGCTGCTGGCGCTGCGGCTAGGAGGGGGTGGCGACCGCAAGCCTTTCCTGAGGACGTACTATATTCACTGAGTGCCGTTTGGTGTTTCACACCAATCTTCATAACAACGGTGTAAGCTAGTGAATTGTAATTTTTCATTTTACAGATTAGGAAACCAAGGAGCAGACTGCTAACTCCCTTGTCTCAAGTCACACAGCTAGTAAATGGGGAAGCTGGCTTTGGACTCGGGCCTTCGGGATCCAGAGCGTGTACTCCCGTCTGCAGCAGGGCAGTGCTTTGCTGGATCATACAGACCAGCTCCCCCCTGCCCGATCGACCCCCCACCTCACCTCCTTAGTCAGAAGGATGAGGCTCAAAAAGGACACTTATTAACTTATAGTTGGGGACAAATGCCAGATTGAAGACCATGTCCCACGTGGTCCCTGGGTGAGAGCCCCGCCCACTTACCTGTCTCTTCCTCATTCATTCATCCCCCAGGCACTTCCTGCCTGGTGGTTGGGTGCCAGTCCAGGGCAGGGGGCTTCAAAGAGGGCTCACAGACCCTGCCATCAAGGTGCTTATGGCCTTGTTGCGATCAATAAGGCAGGGCTGTACATGAGTGTAAAACAAGAAGTGGGTGCCAATGAAGCACCCTGAGGGGTCAGAGGAGGTAACGGTGGTGTTCCAGTGAGGACAGGCTTGCCTGGGTCTCCTGTGCATTAATCCGTTTAGTCAGCATTGGCTGAGTTCCCCGTACGTACTAGTACTGGGGGTCCAGAGCTGGGGATGACACTTAGGATTCAAAATCTGGTGGAGTGGCAGAAGGTGTCTGTGTCCGCTTGAGATGTGTTGTGCCAGCTGCCAAGGGAGAGTGAACAGAGGAGGGAGCAACTGTACGTGCCAAGGAGGAAGGTGCTGGATAGCATGGGAAGACCTCAGAGCTGTGGTGACATGTGTGAGCTGGACCCTGAGGGACCCACAAGTAGGATACTGAGGCAGAGAGGGAAAGAAGGACATTGCCGATGGGAGGAATGGCACACGAGGCCAGTTGAGCTCTAGGGACAGCTGGTGTTGTGGTTGGTCGGCCTGTTGAGAGGCACATGGAGAAATGAGGCTGGGAGGGCCAGCAGGGCGCTGAGACCAGACCCCCTAAAGCCATGCTTGTCTAGCCTGGTCTTGCCTACAGAATAAAGTCCATGGTGGGTTTTGGTGATGGAGGGGAGGTTATCTGATGATAGCTTCCTAAAGATTAATCTGACTGCTCTGGGTGGAGTTTAAAATCTAGGAGAAATTACTGGAGGCCCCTTCCCCCAAACCCCCAAAAGCAAAAATTCCCAGTTAACTACTGCACCAGAGGAGGATGAGGCAAATGCTTTGGATACATGGCAGCAGGGCTAGGTGAGGACCCTTGGGAAGGGTTCATTGACCAGCTTTAGCTGCAACCTCTTCACTGAGTCAGGCACCCAGGACGTGGGGTGGATTTGGGTTGGAAGATGACAGTGAGCAGCCTTCGCTTAACATGTCCGGGAAGTGGCTGGACAGTTAGGAGGGAGGCCAATGCCGAAGGTACAGATTTGGAAGCCATTAGCACGTGTGACAGCCCTTCCCACAGTGGGGTCAGAGAGACAGGACTCTGTCATCAAGTGGGACCGGAAAGCCTGCCCTGTACGTGTGCACCCTTCGTGGCGCCCCCGAGGCACCAGCACAGTCAGGTTCTGAGAAGTCCCGCAGGAAGGACGCCCGTCTGATCCGCTCTTCTCCCTCCCCTGGATCTGACCGTCGTTCCATCACTCGTGTCTTATCTCCCCACGGACCGTCCAGAGGTCTCACGTTGGAAACACTGATGAAGGTTCGGCTCTAGTCTTGTGAGGGGTTGAATTCAGCAGAGAGGGAGACCCAGCTCAAGAAGGAAAGAGAGCCGAAGACAGACCAATGGGGGGACCCCTTGAGGGAGGGACAGGGTTGAGGAAGAGGCTGAGGGTCAGGTGGAGGACGGGGCCTCAGTAGCTGGAGGGGAGGGAGGTGTTCCTGCGGTCCTGCAGAGATGCCAAATGAGGTGTAAGAAGAGGCCTAGAGTTTGACCTCAGAGTCCAAGGGCGTCCTTTGGAGAGCAGGTGTGGAGAGAGTGGGGGCTGAAGGGCAAATAAAGGGTGAGTGCGGGGAGGGTGCACGCAGAAGCGGCCTCCGGATTTCTCCTTCCCGGCCAGGGTGTCCTGAAGGGCAGCGTGGTGACAGGCGCACAGCGGGTTCTTCCTGGGGAGAGATGGGGACATCTCAAGACATGTTTATTTCTTGTAAAGAAATTATTATACAAAAAAGAAATAAAGCATAGGACATCTGGCTCCTTCCTCATTTCCTCCCTACTCCAGGCAAAAGGCTGGGCCTCCTGCCACAGTTAAGTCAGCTCGGGTGACTCGAGGGAGCCCCCAGGTGTGACTGAGAGCCAGCTCAGCCTCTTGCCAGGGGCTCGGGGGGACCCCAGGGCCTTGTTTTTGAGGGAAGGGATGTGAGCAGGTGATGTTCCTGTTATTACACACCGTGCTCGGTGAGTCATCTGGAATTTCCTAAGCATTTAAGTCAGAAGGATTGGGGCAAACGGAGGGGGAGGAGGAGGGCGGTGATGGAGAGAAAGGAAGATGATAACGAGCTGGATCCTGCTGGTGAGTAAGTTGTTCTCTGCTCTGTAAAGTGAGACATCAGGGAGGGCCTTGACCGAGGGAAACGAGGTACCAGGGAGTGTCCTGGAGCAGCAGCTGAGCTGGAGTTTAAGGGGTGGTGGTTTCTAGGTGCCTCGGGCAGAGGGTGCCCCCTCTGCTGCCAGGAGAGAGGGGCCAGGTGGCAGGGCAGCGGGAAGACCCCTGGCCCCTGACAGAGGACAGGGGTCCAGGTTACAGGACAGGGGCCAGATCACGGGACAGGGGCCAGATCCAGGTGTCTTCATGCTGCTGCACAAGGCTTTGTAATGACAGGAAGTCAGCTGCCGGCTGCACTCTCACACTCCCGAGGGTCTGGCTCTGAGACTTTGCCACTGATCTTGGTCTCAGTAAGCTGGTCCTAGGCTGAAAGGGCATGGGGTTCCTTCTGGGTACACATCAGTGCGTTGCCCTCATCCTTGCTGAGATAGGTTGGGATTGGTGCCCCGGATGCCAGGACACAGCTGGCCTGGGTCCACAGGCAATAATCCTCCAGTGCACAGGTAGCTCCAACACAAGGGGCCCTTCCTGCACAGAGGGGCCAGGCGGTGCTTCACAGCCACAGGAGCTAGGTCTTAACGGCTGGGCATGGGCAGCCCGGGCAGAGGGAATAGCATGGCCTGAGAGACGGCAGCATGAAGGCACACAGGGATCGGAATGTGGAGACCCCTGGACCGAGGGAGAGCTGCTTCCATGGGGAGGAGGGCCCAGAGGAAGCCAGCCCATTCAGGTTTGCCCTTTGGCCTTGCAGCGTCGTGCTCCTGGCCTTTGCCCGCTCCCTGCTTTTGATTTATAGTAGAAAGTTAATTTCCCCTCTGGCCTCCCCCCCTTCCTTTACCGGATTTGGGTTTCTTGCACATGTTTTTAATAGGCATCCCTTAATCCAAGTGTTGCCTTCTGGGTTTTATTCTGTTTTCTTTTCCTTAAACAAAACAGAAAGTCTATGCCAGTTTGGAATAGGGCTCAAAACTGAAGCCAGCCAATGTGTAAGGCTGGCAGGAGGCCAGTCATGAATTAAGTGCCCCATGCCACTCGAGAAGTCTGGCCGACACCACACCGGTGGGGGCGAGGGGCTGAGCACGGCCAGGGCTGGAGGTTCCTGCATCTCCAGCACCTCTGCCCCAGGAACAGAGATTAGCATGGACTCCGAGGCCCGGTTAGGAGCAGGGCTGTTGAAGGGCAGGCCTTGGGCACACGCCATCACCTGCCAGTCCAGGTGTGCCAAGTCCTCGGCCTGGGGAAGCAACACCTTTCTGCACTGGGGCAGGTTACCTTACCCCTGGGGAGTCATCTTCCCAGAGTCGCCTTGAAAGGCTTGTCTTCAGGTTCTTTTGAAGAAGCAACCTGATGTAAAATCCTTGCTGCTCTCGTCGGGAAACTCTCAAAACCAGGGCAGGCTGGCTTGATTGACATGGCGGAGGGGTTACCACCTGGCAGCCTTCTGCTAAGATTTAGTGCTAGGACAAGCTCTGCTTCCCCTGCAGAACTAGTGAGAATTTTCTGTCCACCAGCCAGAGAGTCGTAGCGTGTTCCACTCCCTTGGTGCCTCGCGTGCTAGGAAGCGCAGAGCCGGGTTGAGAGTCCTCTCAGCAGCTGTGATCTCGTGGTTATCCCAGTGATGGCCTTCTCTTTTCCAGGGTCCTGGCTTTTTGTGTCTCTCCTACTTACCCGTGCTGTGGATAAATCCTGTGGTGGGAGAGAAATGAGATGTGTGTGAGGATTAAAAATAAAGTGCCATTCTCGGCAGAACCCGGGTGGCGACCGCACTCTTGGGCCTGCAGCAGCACCTTGAAGAAACAGCGGAGGGGGGAGGGGTGACGGGTGACGGGGTGGCAGAGAGGTGCCCGGCAGGGGTGGTGTCCCGTTGTTTGCCTGCAGGGCAGCGCCTCCCAATGGCGCTCTCCGAGGCCGACTCGGCCTGCCTGCACTGCTCCTTCACCGGCATCTGCGTAGCTGTGTGTCAGTTCCCGCGTCCAGTGTGTGTCTGCGAGTGGCAGGGATGTTTGGATAAGGGCTCAGATCTGCTTGGGGGTTCCCAGGCCCCTCTCTGATTCTGAGACATCTTGAACCCACTTCTCCAGAGTGAGGTCTCAACACCAGGTCACCCCATGGTGGCCAGATGGCTTTGGGCAGGTGGGCTGTGTCAGTGTTCCTGGGAACCAGCTACCTTTCTTCTGCCTGCAACAAGCCTGGGGGGTTCTGGATGAAGGTTTACAGTTTGGGGAAAGGACTGTTTGGTTCTGCGCTTGGCCGGGGAAGCCAGTGCTGGACCAGATCAGCTACAGCTGCACCTTAAGGCCGACTCATGCCAGAAGCTCAGTGGCCTAGGTGGTCTGCCTTAGGTGACTTCTAGTGCACTGCAGACACTGTGCAGACAGGGAAACGGAGCCAGAGAAGGAGGTCACTCCCCCGAGGTCACACAGCACAATCAGCAGAGCCTGCCTGTGGGCAGTGGTAGCCCGCAGCCCTCCCCTGTACCTGTGGCCCTGACTTGTTGCCCAGCCACTTTGAATGCTTGAATTGCACTTGGATTTATTTATTTCTTGAGGTTTCCAAAGCAACATAGCTCACATTTTAGTGACTACATTGTTTAGAGTATAGCTTATCTCATTGGAATGCTGAAGCATCCAGCAAAGCCCGAGCTGGATGTGGCTGACGTGGCCCAACTCAGCTTCAGGGGCACAAGCCACAGACCACGGTCACTCCTGCCCCATCACGCCCCATTCCCTGCCAAGCAACTTGGATCTCTCGCCTCCCCTCCCCTTCCCTCGCTCCACCTGGGAAGAGAGGGAAGCGGCAAGGACGTTCTGCCCCTCTTGTGATGGAGGGCAGTGGGAACAGGACGTTCTCAAGGTCAGATCATCAAAGTTATTACAACTGTCGCTAACCCCATTTCTGGAGTGTTTGATGCATGCTCTGCACTTCATATGAATGATCTCAGTTCATCCACAAACAGCACCTGGTGGTAAAAAAGATTCTCTGCTCCGGTGGCTGGGGCAGGGGATGTGGAAGCTGGAACCCAGGGTGTACGTGGTCTGCTCCCAGTCACACAGCTGGTCCCGCCAGAGCAGACAGCGAACTCTGGCCCCCCCGACTTGAAAGCTTGTGCTCCATGACCTGGTTAACATCTAGGGCAGTAGTTTTTACCCAGGGCTATTTGTCCTCTAGAAGACATCTCAAAATGTCTGGAGACATTTCTTCATATCACACAGCTTAGGGAGGTGAGATGGGTGGGTGCTACTGGCGTCTTGTGCCCAGAGGCCCGGGACGCTGCTGACCGTCCCACAGTGTACAGACTCCTCTTCCCCCAAACAAAGAGGTGTCTAGCCCAGACTGTCAGTAATGCTAAGGTTGAGAAGCCCAGCCTAACCCTCCAGTGGACACTTTCTGGGTGTGCGTTGGGTGCAAGGGTGGATGTAAGCTTCGGTCTGCAACACCTCCCGTGGGTGGGAGCAATCTCTGCCCTCAGAAGGGATCATGGGCGTAGACCCCTGAAGGCGATTAGGGTCACTTTCCCTGCAGGGGGCACCCAGGCCCCTCGCAGAACAGCTTCTGATTTTTCTCTCTTGGGCTTTACACACTTCCCAGGGTCTGGTGAGCAGAGGTCCCTGGCGGGTTCCCACCCTGGAAAGCTGCCCGGCAGGCAGTCAGCAGGGGTCTCCGGCCAGTGCCGACACTCAGCCTGGCAGGTCTCCTTCCTGTCCTCACCAGCTCCCACATAGATGCGCTTAAGTCACCAGACAGCTCCAAAGACAGGCCAGAGCCAGAGTGAGGGGTCCAGGCTGGAGGTCCGAGATACAGGAGTGAGAATGAGCAGGAGACTCCTGATTCTCCAACCAACGGGCAGGATTCAAGCAGGCAGAGAGCAAGATGTGGAACAGTGCAGTGCAGAGAAGCAGCTGGTACTGGGGAGTCCCGTAGGACAGGGGCCCTGATGCAAATGAGGAGCGGCAAGCTCACCCAGGGCTGAGAGGACAGACCCACTCAGGTGAGAGATGATGCCGGTGAGCAGGAGGAGGACGGGGTGCCAGGGCCGCAGGGCAGCCCAGAACGGCAGATGACAAGAAGGCTAGGGAGTCAGGTGGGACCACATGAGGGGAAACCTCTATTTCTTGTGAGAAAGAAAACCAGATGGTTTCTGTGATAAGAGATGTGGACCCGGTTCACTCTGGAGACAGCTCCTGGTGCCCCTGTGGTTGCTGACGCCAAGCACAACGTAGAGCCCTGGGGCCTCAGCATTTCAAAGGCTTGGACACTGCTGATTGACAGGCTGGGAGTTTGCCCAAGACATGGCAGAGTCACAAGTGGAAAGCCCTGCTGGGAGCCTGGGTTACTTAGGGGACCTTGGAAGAGGCTGTGGGTGACTGTGCAGGTGGTGGTGTGGCCCAGCTGCAGGGAGCACACTGGGCCTGACCCCAGGGGTTGCCTGGGTGTTGGTTGGGGCCTAGCCCTCTCTGGTTTGGCCCAGCACTTCCCTGAAGACTGCTTCGAGGCAAGGCCAGGCCAGGCCAGGTGGGGCAGGGCCTCCATGAGCTAAAACTCAGTGAAGTATGGCAGGCCTGGTGGAATATTTCTCCAAACACCTGCATACTGTATCCCATTGGATCCTGCAAGTTTTAGACAACAAAAGGCATGAGGGCGGGGATTACAGTACCCTCGGGGAGCTAGGGAAACAGTCTCCTGGAGCTTCCAGGGGACCCCACGGAGGAGCCAGGGCCTGGGGTCCCACTGACGCAGCAGCCTGGCCTGTCTCCCAGACCTGCAGCCCGTCACCTACTGCGAGCCAGCCTTCTGGTGCTCCATCTCCTACTACGAGCTGAACCAGCGTGTCGGGGAGACATTCCACGCCTCGCAGCCGTCCATGACCGTGGATGGCTTCACCGACCCCTCCAACTCGGAGCGCTTCTGCCTCGGGCTGCTCTCCAACGTCAACAGGAACGCGGCCGTAGAGCTCACGCGGAGGCACATCGGTAAGGGACAAGGGGCAGCTGCTTCTCCCTCATTCCCCCACCCCGTGGCCCCAGTGTAGCCCCCACACAGAACTCAAACCACCCCCACTGGGCTCTGCCTCCTGCTGGGAACTGGGGAGAGGACTCACTCTCCCCCCCCCCCCACACACCCAGATTTTGTATTGTCTTGTTCAGGGACCTGATAGGTAGAGTTCAGGTTGCGTGGTCATTCTCACTCAGAGACACAGACAGATCATCTCTGAACATTTGCAAGCCACAGAGGAAAACAGTTCACTTAAGGGAACAAGAAAGGGAAATCGATAAGAAAGGCAATGTATACACTTCTCTTAACAAATATGCACTTAAATTACTGATAGGTGGGTAAGTAGGCAGGCAGTCTTGGAGGTGTGATCTTTTCTTTGTTAATTTCATATGTGATTATGATTATTCCAGAAAACTTAAACAAAAGGTAGAGAGAGAGGAGTTGGCCAGCGCTGGGGCACTGCTGCTGCTGCTGCTCTGTCTTCCAACACCCAGAACATAGCGAGAGATCATTTCGTTTAGCGAAGATGAAGCCTTAATGTTTGTCACTGGGTTTGCTCATGGGATTATCGCACGAAGGAGAGTCACAGTGTTGTGATCCAGCGTCACTGAGAAGGGCTGTAGAGATGGTGTAGTGGTGTAGGGGGGTGTCCTCAGGCACTGCCGCAGCTCCCGGTCTGGTCAAGGGGCTTCGGGGCGAAGCCAGGAGCTGGGCAGGGCGGCGTGGGTCTGGCCCGCCTGCATGAGCCGGAGCACCGCTGCGTTATACCTTGGGCATCAACGGAGGATTTCATTTGAAGGGAGGGTTTCTTAGTTGAGAGAAAAAAAGTTTGGAAGCCACGATTCAGACCTTAGGGTTCATTTTCCAGGGAGTAATCTGATAGCCAGGGAGGGGCCGAGCCCTGCAGGGACCAGACAGCAGGTGGGACACAGTCAGTGACAGCCGGGCCCCTGCCCCTGCGCCCACGTCCTTCCCGGATGGCCTCCCCATTTTTTTACTTCAAAAAAAAAATGCTAATCCTGGGCATGACTGATTCTCTTTACACTTTGCTATATATTTTAAAAATATTTCAAAAATTGCCATAACAAAACAAATGTTTTTGTCCTTTTGGTCTGGGGCTTCCCACCTCCAGCTCTGCCTCCCGCTCTGGATGGACATAACTCAGAGGTTCCTCCTTGGCACCCTGAGTCTGTCCGGTGACACCAAACGGAGAAGAGATGGGGAGCAGGTGAGGGATAGGACAGCAGTGGGATGAGGAGACGGGGCGAACCTCCAACAGCCCGTTGGTCTGTTGCCTGGTTTCCGTCCTACTTGACGTTGTGCTGGTAAAACCTGGCTCCATTTCCCAGCCCCCCCTCCGGGCCTCCTCCCCAGGAGCGGGAACCGAGCCCTCCTCGTGCAGGAGAGGGGAACACCCCTGGCTGCACGGAGAGCTCGTTGTCAGAGTGTTTACGGAACTGCTTGAATTGCACAGCCAATTTAAAAATAATTTCTGTCCATCTGGAGTGGATTTAAGAGATGAAGGAGAAGTAAATGATAGAAACCTATGGAATGTTTTAGAAAAATGCACTGAGGGGAGAAAAGTATGGGGGGGCACTAAGTCACCCCTGCAGCGCAGAGCTCCTGGGGTGTCTGCTGCCTCGGGAGATGCTCTGCAGGTCTACTGAATGAATTTCTGAATCTCGGAGAGGAGGGGACCTAGTAGCAGCAAAGTACAGCTAACACTTAGCAGGCACCTCCTGTGTGTCTCACAACCACCCGGTGAGGTAGGTGTGATTAATGTCCCCATCTGATCTTTGGCTCAGAGCTTGGAGTAACCTGACTGAGGCACATGGCTGGTCAGTGGCAGAGGCTGTCATCAAGACCTACCCCATGCTCTTCCTCCTGCCATCTGCCTCCTCTGGCTTTAGGAACACAGCATCGCCCACCATGCCCTCTGTGGGTTTAGGTTTGGGCTCTGGGTGCCATGTGCCTGGAAAAGCTGGAAAGAACTAGTCACTTGGAGCGTCGATAGCTCTGCCCCTTGGTTAGCCACAGCTGGCCTGGGGCCACTGCGTGGGGCCGGCCCCCTGGCCTGGTCTGACCCGAATCTCTCTAGGGCGGGGCGTGCGGCTGTACTACATCGGAGGGGAGGTCTTCGCAGAGTGCCTCAGCGACAGCGCTATCTTCGTGCAGTCCCCCAACTGTAACCAGCGCTACGGCTGGCACCCAGCCACCGTCTGCAAGATCCCACCAGGTAACAACACCTCTGCACTCACCCCTTCTTCCCTGAGGTCCTCTCCTGCACAGCGCATGCCTGCATTGCTGGAGAGGTTTTTCCTGACATTGTCTCCTTACTGGGATATGCATTGCCAGTCCGGGGGTGCTTTGCCTGGGTTTTCTCTGTGCTATAGCTGTGCTCGCCCTGACCCTCCAGGGAGCAGACACAGCCTCTGACGGATCTGTCTTCGATCGGTGGGCACCTGCTCTGTGCCCGGTGTGCATAGATGCTTGGGCAGTTTCCTTCCCTTCCCCCTCCCTTCCACGAGCATGCACAGCATGCAGTGCTGTAGGGGAGGGAGAGATGCAGGAAGCCCTGCTGCTCTCCCCACAGACCTTACACACCAGCTAAGTATACAAGACAGAGACACAAATGGGTTTCATACAGGGGGAGGTACTAAGCATCAGGTGAGCCCAGGAGGAACAACACATTTAACTGTCAGGACAGACTCGTGGAGGAGAGGCCCAGGCCCAGGGTGCAGTGGGGTGGGGACTGCGGGGGCTTTCCGGGCTGAGCTGATGGAGGGCAGGCACGTGTGGACGGCACCCAGGCTGGGAAAGGCTGTGTGGAAGGCAGTGGGGGGAGATGTTCAGAGAGCGTGATGGGAGCAGGCCGTGGAGGCACACGGAAGCGCTGCTTTTATCCTGGGGGACTGTGGAGGGTTTTCTGAGCAGAGCTGATAAATCCCACTCGTACTTCAAGAAGAGGGGGCAGGCTGTACCCCACACAGTGGCTTGGACAGGGCCAGGCCTGGGGAGCAAGGCCGGGCAGGAGGCTGATCCCATCTAAGGCCGCTTTACTAAGAACCCCGGGGCGGACAGCCCCAGCCCAAGCCCACTTCTCACACGGCATGAAGTCATGGGCCCGAGGCCCGCAAAGTGTGGACCTCGACTGGCTGGCAGCGTGTGTGGGGCAGGTCGGGCTGTTGACCGTGATGCCTGTGTGGCTTGTCTCTTCCTGCCCGCTGAGCAGCAGAGGATAGTGGAACTGTGGGCCCTGGGCAGGGTCAATTTAAGAACGGCAGACACTCTGAAACGGTAACAGAATCCTGTGCTCCCAGAACACTGTGGGGCTGCGTCTGCAGAGTGCACTTCTGTCTCTGCACTCGGTCCTCTCCAGTCCTTCCCGCTCTTCAGGGGAGGAGGCATATTGAGGACGCAGGTTTAGAAAGGTAGGGTGGCCTGCCTCAGGGTACCTGGGTAGTAAGTGGCTGAGCCAGGGCGGGCCTGGGTTTGACAGTGTGACTCCCGAGGCCAGTGCTCTCCCGTTCCTGGCTTGGCTCAGGCCGAACCTGCCTCAGCCCTACCTACCTCACCACACTTCTCCTTGGAGAACACTGGAGAGGAAGCTGGGTTGCGTTCTTGGCATTCCGCCCACTCGAGTCCCCGGCCCTCCCCCCATCTTTTCAGTGAGAGCTGAGCTGGCTCTGGTGGTGGTTGTCAGCTCATAGAATGTGAGCGCTCGGGTCCCCTGAGGCCAGCCCCTCATGTTGTAAAGGAGACGCAGGCTTACAAAAGAGAAAGTGACCAGCCCAGAGTCACACAGCAAGATTAGTGTTGGCCCGTTAATAAATGTCACCCCAGCTCACCTTTTGGGCGCTTGCAACATGTGCTTTTGTCTTTATTTTTCTGGCGGACACATTCCTGGCACTCTGCCGGCAGGACTTCAAACACGGGATTTGTTATAAACTTTATTGGTGCCTGTCTCTCTAGTTTTACTGCCTGGAGAGTTAGACACACACCTTTGCTTCACCGTGAATGTCACCTCGTCCCAGCCTTGTGCCCAGAGGCCAAAATGTGGCCCAGATTCCTCACTCCCTCCTGGCCCGACGGGAGACGGATCCGCCAGAGGAGCTGGGCGGCAGGTGCCCTGGGCCCTGCGATGAGCTTCCTGGGGGAATGGCAGGCTGAGCGGGGGGCGGGGGGGCGGGGGGCCGCCCCCTGCCCCCCGGCCAGCCCGTCCCTGCCGGCACTCCCTCTGTGCAATGGCAGGGCGGTCATTCTGCCCCCGTGGTGGGCCAGATCCCATACAGCCGTGGGCATTCTGGCTCAGATCCCTTGTTTCTCTGTTCCCTGGAGGTCCTGCCTTGGGCCCTTAGCCCAAGGAAGGCACCCCCACTTCCAGTCATCCGCCTTCTTCTTGGCCGCCCACTTCACTGACTTCTGCAGCGTCCCCAGAGCTCCAGGAGCCGGAGCTGGCAGGCCAGTGTTTAATTCTGCCCCCTCAGGCAGACCAGCTGCACCCGCCCACTGAGGTGGCGATGGCTTCAAGGACAGGGACTGAGAGGGCCCGTCGCTAGCATGGTGCCGAGTGTGGAGTGTGTGTGCCACTTCAGTCGAGTGGGTTATGACGTCCCGGGTGACCCAGGGATGGCCTTAGCCCGGAGGGGAGCACGGGACACCTCCGCCGTCTGTCCTCACGAGCAGCGTTTCTGGTCTGTCGGCAGGATGCAACCTGAAGATCTTCAACAACCAGGAGTTCGCCGCCCTCCTGGCCCAGTCGGTGAACCAGGGCTTCGAGGCCGTCTACCAGCTGACGCGCATGTGCACCATCCGCATGAGCTTTGTCAAAGGCTGGGGAGCAGAGTACAGGTCAGCTTCGGGGGGATGGGGGCGGGGAAGGCCTGGGGCCCAGGTACTGCAGGGACCTCAGGGGACTCAGACAGCAGTGTGGGGGCTCCTCAGGGACAAGCGAGGCCAGCTCTTGCCCGAAGAGCACAGACCAAGGACCAGAGAGAGGCTGCGAGTGGGCAGGCTGGAGGCAGACTCACTCTAGATAAGGAAGAGCTGAGCAGCATTGGCACAGCGCCTCACACACACGCTCCGTGTTACCCTCACCACAACACTGGGCGGGGACATTGCATCACCCTTGTTATAGGGGTGAGGGAACTAAGGCCCAGGGAGGCAAAGTGACTTACCCGAAATCACATCGTTAGTGGAAAGGCTGAACCTAGGCCCTGCCCTCTTGGCTCCCTCCTCACGGTTCCTGTTGGACAGATGGGTCTCCGACGACCCTCTGCTTTCAGCTTTCATCCCCTACTCCTTCCCTTGTCTGGGGTTCCCCTGACTCAGGTGGCCCCGAGCGTCTAGAGTACGAAATGACTGAGAAGCAGGGGAACAGGGGGAGAGTTGGGTGGTCATAAAGGAACAACAGCGACTTGCTCAGAGAAAGAAACAGTGTCTTCCAGAATCTCAGATGTGGGTTTAAACCCAGCACTGGTGAAGGCGCGTGGCCCGGTGTGCTCCGCTGAGTCTCTCAGACCGCCTGGTTTGGGCTCAGAGGGTCCAGCCCCTTCCCTCTCACACCTGGACGGGAGTTTCCTGAGAGACAGGGCTGTGCGCCCCTCCTCCTGCTCCACGCGGGGGTGCCCCCACCCTCAGCTCCCCGGGCAGACGCGGAGGTACCCACACGTCCGCGGGAGCCAGCGTCTTGCAAGTTCCTCTCCCCTTCTCTTCATTTTTCCAGATGTTTGGAATCCATTTTGTTTTGCAGTCATTCTGCACCCAAGCCAAACCCATTTCAGTGTTGGCTCCGGGCCACCGTTTATAATGAAATCCAGATGAGCATGACTTATGGAAAATCAGATTCTCATTAGAGGATTTCGGTCCGTAAAATCCTCCTCTCGCATTTACCGTATGTGGGCTGCCGTTCCCTGCGTCTGCCCCGCGGTGCCAGGGGACAGAGCACCTCGGTCTGGGGGGGTCTCTCTGAGATCTGGGATGAGTGGCCAACTGAGCACCTAACAGCATCGGATCTCGGGAGAACTGACGGCACAATTACAGCGGCCTGAGGAGGTCGGCCCAGGCCCCCAGGCCTCGCCCGGCAGGCGCGTTAGCCCACCTCTTAGCCCTGACTGAAATCACCTGGGGAACAAGAGTTGAAAGGTTAGAAAATTAGTATTTTTTTTTTTTTTAGCAGGGAAGGGAAATATTTAAAGATGGACCCAGGGGAACAGAACCAAGGGGAGGTCCATTTGCTGTTCTTACACTCAGACTGCAGCCCTGGGGGCCACACTCAGGCGCCCGCATCAGGCGTCTCACCTGGGGTGAGGTGGCAAGCCTGTTCCCGGCGCTCCACTTAGGGGAAGCAAGGAGGGCAGTGCCCTCCAGCCAGCGGCCCTCAACCTGGCGTGGCACCACAGCCCTCTTCCTGCTTCAAGTGCTGGGAAGAGGCCCCTTGGTGGTGGAGGCCTTTCTCTGGGGCAGACGCCGCATCGCCGTGCTGGACACGGTGCCAACACACCCAGGCCTGTGCGGCTCACTACGGCACTGCCACCTGGCACATCGCAGAGCGGCCTAACTGGTGGGTGCGGCCCCTTCCCAGAAGAGTCTTGCCCTCCTTCTGCCTTTTGGGCCAAGGAGAGTAAGGTTTCATCCCTTCTCTCTATGAGGTGGCCGAAAGCAGGGCCCAGGGCCCAGGCCACTCACCTCCAGCTGGCACCGGCGCCTCCGGCCTCAGCAGATAGCCTTTGCTCAGTGCAGGCCTTTGGGAGCTCGCCTGCGAGCTGCGTCATCAACCAGCCTGAATTTAGACAAAGTGCTTTGGGGAAAAGAAACGTGTGGTGTGCCTTGGTTTTTTCCAGTAATTGTTTCATGGCTCGCTCTGCTCGTAAGATTTTCCAAAATAAGACCAGAGATGGGAATTATATCAGCACATTGGGAACCGACGGCATGTGGGCCCTGTCGGCGCTTTGTAAAAAACACCCCTCAATCAGACAGACGCACGTCATTGTGGCCTGCTGGGGCCGGCCGGGTCTGGAGCTGGGGGACCGAGGTGCCCATTCAGGACAGACGGGGGTTCTCTGTCAGGAGCCTGTCACAGCAACTGGTGGGCCTCTGGGGCACCCTGGAATTTGCCTCCTGTGGTTAACTCTTGAAGGGCCGTCTCCTTCCCCATCACAAGAACCCGGTTCACTCAAAGCTCTTCTTGGTTGGAAGGCTCCTGCACGGCAGATTCAGCAAGTTCCTCTAAGCCACTCGGGGTCTAGCAGGGCAAGACTTATATCTCTGGGTCTGGGGAGAAGACTGTCACCAAAGCAGGAAAAGGCGTCCTGACTTCTGTGTGTGTCCTTCTAGACATTTTTAAAATTTCCCGCCTTTTTTTCCTTTCCCTATGTCTTGTAGGAGACAGACAGTGACCAGCACCCCCTGCTGGATCGAGCTGCATCTGAATGGGCCTTTGCAGTGGCTTGACAAGGTCCTCACCCAAATGGGCTCCCCAAGCATCCGTTGCTCCAGTGTGTCTTAGAGACGTGGGGTGTGGAGGGGGCGGGGCGGGGAGGGCGGGCGTGGGTGAAATGGCCATGTAGGAAGTGGAGAAAATCAGAACTCAACTCACTGTTGCCAAGGAAGAAGAGATTTTTCTCCCTCAACCAAAGTGGCACCAACCTGTTCTCCAAAACACAGACGCAAACCCAGAGATGGATTTTATGAACAGCTGTGCCTGCTGAGCACATTTGCCCTCTGGTCCCAGTTTGAAGGGCAAGAAATGGCTTCTGCTTTGGTGGCTTGGGCAAACAGGTAGTATGTCACCACCTGCCTCCTCCGCTCAGCCCCCTTCTTTTTTGACAGCAATCTGGGATGTCACTGTCCAATCTGGGATGCCACTGTCACTGTCACAGTCCTCTGTGCAGGACTGCAGGGTGTTCACCTGGAGTGTTCCAGGCAGGGAGAAGCCTGCAGGGGTGTGAGCAAACCTCGTAACCGGCCCTCTGGCACTCTGGCAGATGCCTCTCGAACTGAGCACAGTGAGCCCCAGCAATCCCTTGTAGAGGAGCACCCGAGCCGGACTGACAACTGGGGTGAGAGGGACTTGTGTGTCTCCTCCACTCAGAGCGTCCTGATTGGTGTGAGCCAGTGTGTTCAGGCCATGGACCGACAGTGGGAAAAGCCAGAGACCTCTTCTTTCAAAATGCTCTTAAATTTTCCTTTCTCAGTTGGAGCAGTTAGAAGGATCTGCCGAGGCCCAGAGCATCTGCAATGTATAGTTTATCACATTAATCTCAAAGAGATTTGAATGACGGAAGGTATTCACATAAAGCAGGTGGCGTTGTGGAGTGATCGTGTTCGGGCTAAGGCAGCACTCACTACATTGCATGGGTCCCAGTTGTAAGAGCTCACTTTGTATTCTCATGCATTCGGCTATTGGTTTATGTAGTCAGTTGCATTAATTAAATGAACTTTATCATGTGCTCTTTTAATGTTTGTTTTATGCTTAAATCCTGGGTTGGCGCATTGACTGGGAAAGCAGAGTGGGAGGAAGCAACTTCTCCCCCAGGTGAAGCTTTTGCAGGTTTTGTTGAGAAGACACCTGCCAGCAGTTTTGCAAGCTGATTTAACAGGAGCGAATTCACCAGAAGGGAAAAATCTCAGGCCAACGAGGCAAATGAAAGGGCTATTAAATTTTTTTTTACACCTTTGAAAATTGCAGGCTTGGTGCAAAGAGGTCTGTCATCTTTCCCCTGGGGTATAAGATTATCTAGTTCACGGTGGAGGGTTATCAGTGCCAACTCTAGCAGTTATATTGTATAATAAGTACTGCTCCCAGTGGCAATTAGTGAGAAAACTATTATAAATTATTTCAACTGGAAAAAAAAAAGCCCTTTTGCATAATACAGCAGACAGAATTGCCACTTGCAATTGAATTGGTACTTTATTCTTTGCTGCTGTTTTTGTATGAAATGACTTATCCCATATTTTTGCATGGATTTCTACCAGGAAAAATAAAGGGATTTCCTATGGAAGTCCTGTCTTAACTCCAGGTGAAGGCAAGAAAGTGTATACTTTTGGCAGGTTACTAACCTCAAGTGTGATGACATTTCTGATGCTATGTGGAGATGCTGGGGGCTTCCTGGTGCCTCACCTGCAGGACCCTGCACCTCTGAAGTTCCAGCCTCGAGGTTTCCAGGTAGGAGAGCTGCTCGCCAAGCCTCCTGAGGACACAGGAAGAGGCAGGAGGAACACCTTGCCAGACCTGTGCTAGTCTTCTCACAGGACCATTGACACAATGCAGAGACCACGCAAAAGCCCTCAATCCCCCTGAGGGCCAAATACTGTGTCTGAAGTTTGTGCCCGGTGTGAACCCATCTGTGGACTGCTGCTTACAGACACAGGAAGCCACCCAAACCTCCTGGATGTGCACTCACGTCAGGCCTGAGACTTGGTATGCATGATTCCATTTGGCCTCTCCTAACAGCGATGGGCAGCGGTTTCTGAGGGCCTGTCTTCTCCACCTGCTTCATGATCCCTCAGCACACAGCTGTCCTCCAGGTACTTGGCAACTAGCTTCAGGTACAGCCCGATGCTGGCGATCCTGTGGTCACATCTGGCTACATTTAGATGGTGTCTTAGGACCTTCAATGCTTTGTTTCCCAAAAGCTACTCACTTGGTCCTTTTTCTCTACAGACTAGACTGCTGGAGGAGGCAGTGTGAGGAAAATGTAGGAAAGCCCACCTTTGGCACCATGGGAAATAAATTTGGTCTCACCTGGAGGTTAGGACCTGGCACCATCCCCATCCACAGAGGCTGCACAGGTGCCTTGGGGGCATGTGTAATATTAGTGTCCTTTGTCACAAAACTAGTTTTATTTTTTAAACCCTGTTGTATGAAAGGCATTTATACAGCTTAGAACTTTTTAAAAGGACAGCTGAAAGGGGCACAAGGAAATAACGGCAGTTCTAGAGGGGGACAGTAGGTGTTGGACAGTGGTTTTAAGCGTGCTCGTCCAGGCTACCCATGATGTGTGCATTGTCCCCTGCCCCAGGCTCCCTCCCCGGTTGCCCTCACCTTGCAACCCAGAGTCGTGGGCCTGGGGCTTGCTGGGGTCCTCAGCCTCAGCCCCTTCCCTGGGAGCCAACCTGTAGTCCCTTTCCTCTCCTCCCCCACACCCCCTTCCAAACTTTATTTAGTAACTTAGATCCTTCCAGCACAAATGTAGGTAGCCGCCCCAGCAGGTTCCAGTTACAGGCCTGTGCTGGAACATCATCTCGGTTGGCCACCTTCCTGGCAGGCGGTAGAAGACCTGACATTTTGAGACAAGCCTAGAGTCAGGAGCGGGGACTCTGACTCTTAGAAAGAACACGAGGGCAAGGCTGCTGGCAGACTTTCCCATTGTCCTTATGTTGTCTGTGTTGTATTTTTTTACTGATCGTGATTATTTTTTTTTAATCATTGTTAATGTAATGGAATGAGCTGTAGCACACATCTTGTGCTTAGTTTTTGTTTTTTTTTTCTCCATGTCCCCTTGGCTTCCTCAAGTTTGGACATATTCCAGGGCTAAATGCTTTTACTCAAACTGCAGAAAAAGGTTTCCTTTAAGTAGTGTGTGCATGTTGAGCATGCAAATGAGTAGTCTGGGGAGAAGACAGGCATCTGATTTCATCGTTAGCCCCAAGCTGCTATTTCTGCGGCTCCAGCTCCCACAATGGTCTCTGCAGGGGGAGCGTGCACAGGAGGCCACTCTCGGGTCCTTAGAAGGGGCGGAAGGGAAAGGAATCCGCAGACTGCTCCGGGGACTATTAACCAGGGGTTACCAGTAGCAAGAAAGGGCATGAGTTAAATTCTGGACCTTGTGTCTTACTGTGTGACTTCAAGTGGCAGAGTTGGGAGTTTCCCCAAAATCTACATGTCCCCACTTTCTTACAAGAAAACCGCAACTTAACACAGCTATGTTGCACCATTTTTCTTTGTGGCATAAATGTTCCCTTCTAGAACCCCTTCAAGTAACACTCTTCAAAATGTATGTCAGCCTTTTAAAGAGGATCAGCTACTTCTCTAGTGGGTGGGAGAGGAGTGGAATTAACACAGAGGACACGGATCAGAAATGAAGAGGAGGCCCCTCTGACGGAAGGGTGTCAGTCGGTGGGAAGTGCCTGACATCCAGGCGGTGCTGCAGAAACAAAACCCGCCTATCATGTAAACTGGATTGAGAAATTCTCTCAGTGATTCTGTAGTTGATTTTCTTTTTTATGCTCAAGTAATGTACACTCTTGCATCCTGGTGTTTTATATTTATGTAATGATTTCTTAAACCCATTCAAGACAGACGACTATTTAATTTTTTTTGAAGAAGCTTGGAAAGGTCTCTCCTCCCAAGGACAGTGGCTGGGAAGAGCGGGAGGCACAGCCAGTTCTGAATGTGGGTTGAGGGCAGAGGCTTTTCTGGCTCAGCATCCAGACACACCAGCCCAGGCTCGCTAATCATGCCGCAACGTGTGACAACAGGCAGCTCCGAGTCCTCTCCCTTCCCGGGGTGAGAACTTTACACGGAGGGCTGGAGCCTCCCTTCTCCAAGATGCCTTCACTCACTCTCAGTCCTGCAACGAGGCTGTTCTGACGAGGGCCCTCGATGCGGAACAGAACGTGTGCGATGCTGATGACCTTCACGTCTCAGCCAGCCTGACCTTTTAATGCCTTTGTAAAAAGCATGTATGTATTTATAGTGGTTTAGATTTTTCTAACTTTTGTATCTTAAGAGCAGAGCACCTGTTTAAGCATTGTACTATTGTTAAAGATTTGTGTCCTCTCTATCCTTCTCTTCCCCCTGTAAGTGCCCTTCTAATAAACTTTCATTGAGAAGCTCCTGCACCAGGAGCTCAGTCTCATTCTTGCTGCCGTGTCTGGGTGGGGAGATTTACAAGGGAACCCAGTGGGGCCCCAGGGGCCCCAGGGAGCATTGTCTCTAAGCTCAAAAGCACTTTGACCAAGGACGTGCCAAGCCACTCTCTGCCACAGCCTCATGTAACACCCCACTGAGCTCACTCACTCACCAAGGGCAACAGGCAGTGCCAGCCAGTCCTTCAGCGACAGCGGGATCCCGCGTCAGCCAAGCAGAGGCCCAAAGTCCCACCGCTGGAGCGTCTCCCCGGCTCCCCACACAGAAGCACCGCCACACAGGTCCCGCCAGCGCTGCCTCTGCATTCTCCTTTTTGCATTCATTTTCCCTGTGTTTAAAGGCCTTTGGCAAATCATGAGATGCCACCAGATTAATCTTCCCTCAGGCACGGAGGTAGTTTTAGATTCATAAATAAGGAGGTTTCCACACTGCCCAGCTCAGGTGACTTTGTTAGCTCCTGTGAAAATTCATTTTATATTTGAAACTCTGGAGAAGACAGAGACTTCAAAATTGTTTCCTTGGCTGAATCTTATACTGACCCCACATGATATAGATTAAAACACAGGATAATTAAAACACTTTGGAAGAGGAGGATGGAATGGGGCTGCAATGATCTTTCAGCTGGACCACCTCTACGGTGTCGTCCTCGAAGGCCCTCACCAGAGCCCAGACACTGCCCGTACCAGGAGGGAGGCCGGTTCCACAGAAATGACACCTGTGGGCCCACACAGTTGGCCTCCGTGAACTGCATCAGATTCCTGCCTTCGTGGTTCTTATTTCCCCAAGGTTTTACCTCGTTTGTATTTCTTAGCACATGACTCTCAAACCCACACATCTAACCCAACCTGCCCCTGCCCCTTGAGCTCCACAATTTAAATTCCAGACACCTGTTAAACACGATCAGAAAATACGCCCCCAAACCGATGTGTCTTCCCCCTCTCGAGCCAGCTCACTGTCCTGACCCCCCATTCTCACAAGTAGCCTCTCTCTGGCTCCTTCTCCCCCGTTCTCCGAGTCCTGAGCAGCTGAGTGCACACCTTTTCCTTGCTCCCCATCGCCTGCGCTGCAGCTGCCCGCGGACCAAGCCTGCCTTCGGAGAGACCAAGCGCCCTGAATGGCTGGGCTCCACTTGGCCCCCGCACACAACCTCCTCTTTCTCTTGGGCCCGCACCTCCCTCTGCCTACTCTGCCTCCCTCTTCTGCCTACTCCTCCCGGGTGGTGTTCCCAGGCCACTGTGTGTGCTCTTGACATCCTCCCCAAGTGATCTCATCTACTTGCATGATTTCAAGCCACATGAACGCTAATGACTCCCAAATCAGTGTTTGCGGCCCAGACATCCATCACAGGCTTCAGACCTGCGGCCAACAGCTGCTGGCCACTGGTACGTGGAGGTGCCGCAAGTACTTCAAACTCATAATTTTAATTTATTTTTTTAAGAGCAGGAGATAGAGGGAGAGAAACTGATCTGAGAAACATCAATCAGTTGCCTCTCACATGTCTCCAGCTGGGGGACCTGGCTAGCAACCCAGGCCTGTGGCCTGACCGGGAGTCAAACTGACAACCTTTCAGTACACAGGCCAGTGCTGAACCCACTGGCCAGAGCGCAAACTCATTAATTTAAAAAGCAAACCCATCAGTGCCCTTATTAAACCATGTCCCTTTCCTTTGGCCTTCAGCCCAGTGTTTGGCTCAACCATTCACCCACCCAATAGCCACAGAGCTCACAGCCATCCGCCCTCCCTCACTCCCGACACCCAGTCCGCCCCGTTTCCCACCGCCACTGCCCTCCGCAGCAGCTCCTCTGGCACACAGACAACTGCGCCAGCTCATAACCGCGCTCCCAGCCTCCAGCCTGCCTTCCTGTAAATGCATCGCCCGCACCACCGCCAGGGACACACCTGACCTTAGATGCACCCCCCCACACCTGGCCACAGCACAGACTCTAAGGTCTTTAACATGGACCCCTGGACCTTCAGCATTTGGCCCCTATTTAGCTCTCTCAGCTGGATACCCTGCGAACAAATAACATGTTGCTCCTTAGACTCTGCTTGGAACGTTGGCCCCTCTTCCCCAGTGAACACCCCCTGCCCCGGCCTTTGTGACACGCACCACCAGTTTACCTGGCTAACTGTCACTGATGCTTCGACTCCAGACATCGCCAGGAAGCCCTCTGTGACTCTACCACCATGTCCTCAACTGTGTGTGAACTAGGACCGTCTCCTCCTCTAGGCTGCAAGTTCCTTTCTTTTTTTTTTGCAAGTTTCTTGACAGCAGGGTTTGCATCTTATTCTTATACCTCCAACTTCTTTTGGGTGCCACACATTTTTGTTAAATAAATGAATCAATTAGAGCCCCTGTCCAGTAGATTCTACCTCAGCAATATCTTTTGCATCCATTTCCATGGTGCTGTTCTAGAGTAAGTATGTAGACATAGCTGAAGGTATTTGACCAAGATACAGTTCCTGATTACTTTTTATCACAGCTAGCCCAACATTCTCCTCATCTGTCTCCCTCTAGTCCAGGGATAGCAAACATGGGACAAAGTTACAACCATTCTGTTTCTCTATCCATGGTAAAAACCACTGCTCACAGTGCTGCAACCATTCTCAGCCTCAGAATCCTTCTCAACACAGCTCTCCAGGCACATGGTGCTGACCAATTAGCACTGCCTAATACTACTGCCAGTCTTCCCTGGAATGTCATCATGGTTAGATGTCTTTTCTGCTCCAACCTCTTGGCTCCTCAACTTGCAGAGTAGGCACAGGCGTCATGAAGTAGGGTCTCAAGGTTGCCTCCAGCATCATTCCGTCCTCACCTACCACCACTCCTCTGACTGCTGGGGTTCTCCCCATGGAACCCCTTGCTTTACCTCCGTACCTCTGTTCGTGTCGTAACTTCCACTATGGATTTTCCTGCCTCCACCTGTCTGCCCAAATTCTTATCCTTCCAGCTCAGTTCAAGCATCACTTCTTGTAAGTCTGTGGGTCTCAAAGTGTGGTCACTGGCCAGCAAGATCAGTATCACCTGGGACGTGAGAAACACACATTCTGAGGCCCTGCCCCAGACCTGCTAAATCAGAAACCGGGGCGGGGCCCCAGTTGCAGGTGACTCTAATGTGGGCTCCAGTTTGAGAACGGCTGCTCCCAGGTGTGCGTTATGCTCCTCTCAACCCACTCTGCTTCCCTTCCCACAGCAGTTAGGGCTGGTCAGGGCACTCTTCACACTCTGCCCACAACCTGTCTTTTGTGCCCTTACCTTCCTCGTCCCCTCCTCCCACCCAAGCTGGGCGATGAGCTCCTAGGGCAGAGACTCCGCATCCTTGCCAGGTGTGCAGCCTCTGCCGCTACCTGCACAGCTCCGCACCAAGACAGTCCCCAGTCGGTGTTGGCTGGCCCCCGGATCCTTGCTCCAGCGGGTTAAAGAAACAGGTTAGTTGCTTTTTCTCACCTTTGAGACCTTCTAACTTCTCCATTTACGACTTCCTGAGAATATCCCGGAGCAGCAGAATTGCTGCAGAGCAAATCCTTGGGCTCAGACCAAGAGACTCTTTTTCTCTCCAAAATGATGCTTCCGTTTTAATACCGTTCCCACCCCAGGCCTCACTGAGCCCGAGTTTTTGTAGCACTAAAGCCACCTGGTTGATAAGAGAAGGGGAGAGACAATGATTGTCCGCACTCTTTACAGAAGCGAACCAGGGAGGCTGGTCATGAACTGCCGCTGTAGGTGACTTTTGTGCCTCCGAGTCTGTAGTTATGGGGAGAGTATTTGAGTCAATCCACATAGAAACACAGATACTAAAGAGCATTAGAGAAAAAAAGTTTTTTTCTTGCCAAACCTGTGTTCCAAAGGTGCAGTAATAGCAATTAAGTCCAGGCTTTGAATCAGTACTTTCCAATCAGAAACAAAGCAGAAGTGTAAGGGCTACAATGTGACTCAGTGGGATGCCAGCAAAAGGCCCACACTGTTGCTGTTACCTCTACTAATTCTCTGTTCTGCAAACCAGTAACACCTGGGAAAACAGCAAGCAACTTCTTCTACTAGAACTGTAACCCACGTACTTAACAGCAGGCACACAGGAATTGCCCAGAATATAAAACTTAGAGAATGTCTAAGGCCCTTTCCACAAGACCTTACATGCCAAAGGTGCAGGCATGGATCACTGAACTAAACCTCGAATCTAAATCAAAACTAGACTTTGCCCGGCACAGTCAGCATCCTACTTTTATGAAACACAAATTATGGGGAAGTTAATAGGGTGTTATTTTCAAGCCAATCCTCTACTAAGGTGGGTACCCTTGGCTAGATTTTCTTACTTTCTCCACCTACACTGCTTGAATACAAAATTTAATATCTAATGACAGAATGCTGTAGCTGAATTGTCTTCATCTATTTTTAAATGCGGGGGGGGGGGAGGGCGGTGAAAGGCAACTCTAACTCATTACAGCATTCTCTGGAACTCTGTCTCCATCAATCAGAGAGTTCAATGAATCAGGACCTCTGACCACACTAGACACATGTTTGCTAAATTTAGCTTTGCACCAGCAAACACTCGAGCTCAGAATAGTTCATGGAGCTCTCATCTTACCCTTAGACAGTGATTCTTCTAAGATTGTTTTTCCATGGCCAGTCAAGGCAGGGCCAGGGGCACTCCGCGTGCCCTCTCTGTGGTCACTGTTAAGAGACTGGTCCAAGGTTAAGGGGATCCGACATCAGCCACGGCAAACATGTTTATCCCCACCTCTCCGCAATGGGAACTTCACGCTGGCCGTATATCCCATTTCGTGTGGTATGAGCAGTTGCAGTAATGGCCTTACATGCTCCATGGTCCTTGAATCGCACTCCATATTACTCAGCCATCTAAGTCTAGCCTCCCTGAATCTCCAGCTTCTCTGAATTAGATGGGGCCAAGTTCTATAAATAGAGAGCAAGCAAACTAGTTCTGTCAATCTCCTCATACTCTGGCAGGATAACATATTTTAAAGTTATAAAAATATCTATGTCTTCATCACTCTAAAATTATTACATAACACATGATTTTCTCAGGGAAAAAAGTTTATTCTTGTCTCTCCCCTACCTTCCAACACTCATGGACCTTCAAAATTTGTGATCATATTCATCAAACTATCAAATACAAATACAAACCAAAATTAAGGGCCTACTATATGCCAGACAGTGTGTTACACAAATAAACACTGGAGGTGGGGGGAGGGCAGAGCCAAGTCTCATTTTAAACCCAGAAGGACAGCTCATAGTAACTTGTGATAGCACGTACGGAGATTGCTTTAGATAGACTTTAACTTTTATTGCACTATTAGCTCATGATCACTCTTCTTCCCCTGGGTCTTTAGTAGACACCACTGGATACTTTTATTCCACATTTCTGCTAGAAGGGGCTGCTATGTCCATATGCCTAATCCAGTGAAGGAAGGCAGGCTTCCTTCACATAAATCCCCTACTAAACGACAAAAAAAATCATAACACACATTAACAGACTTTATAAACAAATCACATTTTAATCATCTGGTCTGTTTAAGCCACAGAATCAAGTTCACAGCTTTTTCTGATCTGTTTTCAGTAACCATGTGATCCTAATGTATTACCTGAAACCTCTCGTGTTTTAAGAAAAGCGTGCTCCACCTTTCATTTTGCAACAGGGAACCAACCTCCCTTATATTCCTAGTGAATGGCTGACACAGCTATCCCAAAGAAACACTGATGGAATGGTGTTAAACTACAGACTCAATAATCCTTCAGAATAGTTAAAAAAAAAAAAGGCCACCAAGCAAGACAGTCCCCCCCACCCACCCCCCCCAGTTCCCTGAAACGGCCCTTCCTGAATGCTCCCACCACTGAAACCTTCCCTCCCGTGGTCGTCCTGGCCCGGCACTTGAGCCACCCCTCCCCCTGCCATCTGCCTCTTGTTCCGCGGTGCCTGAAGCTGTACATAGAGGAGTCAGAACCTGTTTCTGCGGGTGAACGCCCCAGCCCAAGAGCAGTTCCCGGCCCACGTGCAAGCACTGTCCAGCTCTGGTGCGCTGTGCCGCTCACAGCCGCGGCGGGGGCCACTCCGGTGACGGTTTATTTGCTGTACTTCCCACTGCTCCTTCAGGAACTTTCCCTTTGGCAGTCAGCTCCCCCAGGGCTGACCCACTCAGCCTGGGAAGTAACACAAGGTACTCAGGAACTCACATCCTTTCCCATCTGACTCGCTCCTTAGTGTCACTATTTTTGGCAGTGATCTGTCTTCCGGAGAGGAGGAAGAAACTTGCCTTCTCTTGAGGGCATAAAGTGTGACAACACACCTCTGACATCTCAAGAGAACTCAAGAAAGAAGAGTTTCTTCATAACACTAATGCTAAAATCTTAGTAGGTGACCACATACTGTTTCAATGGCCCATTTGGGGATTTAAATTCCTCTGCCTCTAACACAGGCAACCCCTCCCTCCCCCAGCAACTTGATAAAGGGGTCTGTTTTACGCCTACCAGAGTAGGACAGCTTTGCCTCATTTACTATAGTTTAGAAATTCATACTGGCTTCTCAACACTTTCTAATGTGAGCTCAGACACTGTATTTTCATTGAAATGCCCAGAAGCAATTTTTTTTTAACTGGAGACTAACCTGAGGCTGCTGTCACTGGCCCCACCTACACCACAGCACAAACCACATCGGTGGCGGCTTCCTTTCTTCCCACCGAAGGCACCGAGGCCCAGAGCAATGAGCTCCCTGGAGGCAGAAAACCCAGAAGCCCAGGGAGAGAGGGCACACGCTCCCTGTCTGCAGTGATCGAGTGTGAGCACGGGCACGTCACTAAAAGGCTGACTAAGGACGGCTGAGTGGTTTTCTTCTTCAACGTGGGCAAACCACACAGACCTCCGAGCCTCTCATTCTACTACCGTCCCTAGAAAAAAGTATATTTGAAAAATTCTCAGACCTTACTGTTGCTATACCCCTCACTCCCTTATAATACACGGAGGGGGGAAAGCTTTCTCCTTAACCCTCTACTAAAATCTAAAATCAAGGGGAAACGAGTGAGGTGGCCAACATGATGATGGGAAGTTCAGCAAAATGTAACTGGGCGGAGCAGGGCAGTATCTCAGGTGGGGGGAGCATCTTTGTTAGTCAAACCCTATATGAATAATTTAGTGTTCTTCATCAGACGAAAGGCCTTCAATTTCATCTCTGTCTCCCCCAATTGCCATCCAGAAGGCTTTGGCAACCTGTGGAGAGAAACGTGCAACAAATTTTAGCCAACAGCTAAATTTCACCTCATTTCATGTCATACTTTGAACCAACTAAGATCTAAAATTCTACACCTCGCCCTCCAGCCCTCGGGCAACACATATCGAAACCCTTGACTACCTTGACCCAGGAGCTCCACTTCTAGGGATTTACAGTCAGGATACAAGAGAGTCGTACAAATTGGTGATGTGTGAGGACACACAGCCTCACTATTTATAGAAGAAAAAATGCACACACGTGACCTCACTGTCCAAAGGGGAACTGGATAAATTATGACACTTTCATACAATAGAATACCACAATGTGTTTCCTGCCAAGAACATGTGCTGCACTGGTAGTAACAAAACAAAACAAAACAGAATAACTAAGAGTTTTCCAGTCCAACAGATAGAAAGGCAAACATCCTGCATCTCAATGAAAAGTTCCACGTCATTCAACATACATTTGAAAAATCTTGGTTTGACTGCAGCAACTAAGTTACTGTTGTATAAATACTCAATTAGTTATGTTAAAATCCAAGGAAAAGTTCACACTAAGACACTTCAGAAGTAAAAATGTATATATAATTAATAAATAAGTGCCATCATTCTAATAGCACTGGACCTTCTGTAGGTATTCAATAAATACCTGACTGATTGTCTCACCTTTTCTGCATGCAACTTTCTTTGCTCGTGAGGAAGCGTCGCAGCCTTGTCTAGGGGGAAAATATATCTTAAGAAATTCGTCTAATAGCACAAGAGAATCTGGAGTGTGTGGATGCTCTAACACTAGAAGGTGGGAGATGGGTTTCAAAGACATGTTTATGGTGTAGTCATTACAGCTGTCAGGAAGTCTAAGTCTTCCAAACTCTCCCAATGGGAATGAAGTGAGTGAACTGGGAGGGGTCTCACTGATTCCACTTTACTGAGACTCACTGAAAGAAACAGAGGCAAGAGAAGAGGGAAAATAAGAGGAAAGAGAATCAAGGAAGAGGAAAACTTTCCCCAGGGAGTTTTTACCACCAGAGGACGGCACACACTCCCAGTAGCTAAGTTCCTCCAGACAGCTGAGACCACAGCACAGAATCGAATCGACAGTTACAAAGTAAAGCCCCCGATGTAAAACCAGGGAGTATCAATATGGGAACATGTTAGACACAATGGGTCCGATTACCTTTCATTTCCTTTAACTTTGAAAACAGTCTTTCAAAATTCTCCAAATCTCCTCCACCCGTAGTAAGACTGGCCAGTTCTTGAATATCCAGATCTAACATGGGATCTGAAATAAGGATTCGTCACATTGTCACAGGTTATTTATACATGTGCTAAACACGCAGAATCCTAAGGCAATCAATCCTGGCTTTGATGAAAGCCACCGCTGAACAAGTGCCCTGTGTACCAGCTTCACAGCTCACGGTACCTGACCCTGTCTGGCGACCAGTGGGCCCTCCCAGAGGAACAGTTACGACATGGGCAAGGCATACAGTTTCCGTTTCAGAGATGAGAAAACTAGAGCTCTGTGTTGGAGTGACTTGCTGAAGGTCACAGCCAGTGTGACCTTGGATTCAGACTTAGGTGTTTCCAACTCTCTAGGCCACACTCCCCACTAATGTACACTGATTCAGCAATAAATGCCTGAAATTTATATGCCATTTTACTGTACATCAAATATTTTCACATCTACTACTGACGGCCACATAAGGCGGTTAGAGCAGATATCACTGTCCACAATTTACACATGAAGAAACCTGGGTTTAAAAGTGAACTCATTTAAAATCAAAACTATCCAGAGGTAAACCGAATTTCAATTCCTGTTTTCCTGCTACAAATCCTTTACTATTTCCACCATAGCATGTTGTCTCATCATCAAAATTTGTTTTTAATCAGAATTTTAACTCATCCGCCCCCCCAGGCTGACCACCTCTGGGCCGTCCTCCCTGACCGTGCCCACTCACAGGTCTGCTCCCTTTGGATGCGTCCCACACTCAGTGCTTGCGGAACCGCCCTGGCGCTGGTGCACGCGAGTTTGTATCCTGATGCCTCCCCATCGTCACTGTGAGGAACGCCACTACAGTAAGAGGGTTTACTTTGTGTCTGCACCACCGAGTGCTTTCACTGACACCATTCCATTTCATTTTTGCCACAGCACACTGTAAGATTTGTGAACCCCACTATTACAGAAGGGGAAACTGAGGCCCATGGAGGCTAGGTAACTTAATCAAGGTCATCTCATTGCTAATGGTAGAGCCACGATTTGAACACAGTTGTCCGGGACTCAGGCCCCAACTTTAACCATTACATTAGGCCGCTGTCTGCACTTTCAGACCGTAAGCTCCTTGAAGACAAAGATGACAACTTACACTTCTTTGCATCTACAATGTCAAATAAATAGCTTGGTGTTAAAATGCACTTTGGTTAATAAATTTGCTTTAGCTCAATGGGCATGTCGTGTTGGCAGGGGGCATACAGGGCTAGAGATAAAAATTTGTGATTTACCTGTGTGTACAAGATAACTGAACTTTGAACATAGACAGAATCACTTTGTGCTTAAATATAGATTTGGAAGAGGAGTTTAAGTGGAGCATTCAGGAATGGCAATATGTAAAGACTAGGTAAAAAAGAGTAATCTTCCAAAGAAAGAAGGAATAATCAGAGAAGTAGGAAAATCACCCAACTATAGGATGGGCTGGGTGAGTCAAGAGAACACAATGTCTCAAAAGGGATTGGTCCATGGTACCGAATGCTGCCGAAAGACCAGGATGAGAAACGGAAGACATCTATTAGATTCTGTGGTTCAAAGGCTCTTGGGGAGCTGAGTTGGTGGGAACTGAAGGTCAAAGTTAGATGGGCGTGCACTGAGTAGTGAACAGGGGGTGAGGAATGGAATAAGTATAGCAGAGAAAGGGGAAAAGCCTGGAGTTGAAGTTTTTACTTCTGTTGGTTTAGTTTTGTCTTTTTAAAAAATTTTTTTGAGCTCTGGCTGGTGTGGCTCAAAGTGGATTGAGTATGGGCTGCAAACCAAAGGGTCACCAGTTCGATGCCCAGTCAGGGCACATGCCTGGGTTGTGGGCCAGGTCCCCAGTGGGGGCCACGTGAGAGGCAACTGCACATTGATGTTTCTCTCCCTCTCTTTCTTCCTTCCTTCCCCCTCTCTAAAACTAAATAAATAAAACCTTAAACAGTTTTTTTGAAATAATTAGTCTTACAAAAACATTACAAAAATAGGATATGCCCTTCATCCACCTTCTCTTAATGTTAACATCTAATATAACCACATTATAATTACAAACATCTAGAAGGTAGTGACGGTGCGGTGCTATAACCTAAACTACGGACTCGGTTCAGACTGCGCTCGCCTTTCCTCTAAGTCCTCTTCTCTGCTCCACGGTCCTACACGGCCCCGAGCTGTCAAACCCCCTCAGTCTTCTGCAACTCCTGACAGTTCCTTAGTCTTTCCTCACCTTCTATGGCTAAACACTTTTGAAGAGTCCTGGTCGGTTATCTGTGTAATGTCCCCCAATTTGGGTTTGTCTAATGTTTTATTATTAAACTGAGGTTATTCACTTTGGCAAAAACAGCACGAGACTGAGCGCCCGCTCAGTGCGCGTCTGGGGGAGATGACGCTGGCGTGTCTCACTTCCGGTGAGAGTCTCCAGCACCTGAAGCAGTATCTGCCAGGTTCTGGTATGAAGTTACTGTTTCCTGCTTTAAATAAATAGATATCTGGCGAGAAATACTTTTAGACTATGCAAACTTCATGTTTCTTCGCAAATTTTCATCTACTAATTTTAATAGCCATCAGTGGACCTGGCCTGTGAGAACTGCCACCGTGGTGTGTGACTCAATGGTGATTTTCTATTTCCCTCATTCCTCCCACATTCACTAACTGAAATTCTTCTGAAGGGAAAAGAAACCCTTTCTTTCCCAGTTATTGTTTTGTTTCTTCAATTATTTATTTATAGTAGTATGTTTGCATAAATATTTATTTTATTCTATGGGTTATAACCCAGTGCTGCATTAGTTTATTTTTGCTAGTCAAATTATTTCAGCTTTAGCTCTTTCAGGTTGTTTCCTCTGCCTTTTCAATATATCCCCACTCTTTTTTTTTTTAGATGTTATTTATTTTTAGAGAGAGGAAGAGAGGGAGTTAAACATCAATGTGTGGCTGCCTCTCATGCACCCCTACTGGGGACCTGGCCCACAACCCCAGGCATGTGGCCTGGCTAGGAATCGAACCAGAAATCCTTTGGTTCACAGGCCGGCACTCAGTCCACTGAGCCACACCAGCCAGGGCTCCTCAATCTTTTTGAGCACTTTCTTACTTGCTGGTACCATGAGATGCTCCAGGTTTATCCTGCCTTTTTTCTGCCCCAGCCCTGGAATCATCACTTCTCCAAGTAGCCCTGGTACGTTTTTGGAGAACAGTATTTGGAAACCAAGACCCAAGGGCCTAAGTGTGTCCACTACTATTAAACTATTGTTGCTTCTAGGCCCTCTCAGTGGGTACAGCTAGGAAATACACATGTGTATGAATGCCTGCATACACATATCTGTATTTCTCTATTGTTCTAACTGTACATACAGTTTTAAAAACCATGTGTTCATACTGATACCTCCCATTTCAGTCTAGTACAAAAGGGCTCATCCCAACCTTCCCTTTCCTTATTTGTAACCTCTCTGACAGTGAGAAAACCTAGCTCTCTTTACACTGTATTTTCTTAATTTTTCAACCATAATATATATAAATACATATCATTTTAGAATCAAATTTATTAAGCAAAGTACGGTACTTTTTATCAGTTCTTTTTGTTTTTAGCCCTATGATATCCAGTCAGAATCCTGTTTTCCCAAATTACTGAGGTTAGTTCTTGTCTTAACTACCTCCTTCAGTGTGGTTAATGGTTTATTTTCATAAAAGGGACTCTGGCAGGTTTAAAAGCCAACTGAAACTAATATAATATTGTATGTCAATTACGCCTCAATTTAAAAAAGCCTATAGGAAGGATTCAAACAAAAAGACAAGACTGACCTTAAACTAGAGAGAAAAGAGATGATATGTTTTTTTTTCTTGTTACTATGTTTCTATAAACAACCCCTTGGGTTTTCTACAAGGATTATCTTGTTATCAAGGGAAAAGTGCTTTTAAAAATTTATTACTGCACAGGGCCCTCTATGGCACAACGAGAGAGTCAAGATGTCCACAACTCCCTACCAAAACAACACTTATAATTAAGCTCCTGGGCCTTCTGGCTCTGGGGCAACAGGCTGCACTCTAGACTCAGTCCCAGGACCTTGTTGGGTACCTTCGGACAGGCTACTGAACCGCTCTGGGCCTCACGGTCATTTCTGTAAAATAACTTCTCTACCTAACTTCATTATCAAATGAGAAAGTGGATATAAAATAATTTTAAAAGGATGTGAAAGGGCTTATAAAGTTATATTATTCTTGTTATCATCAATTCTGACTACTGTTAAATATTGGGTTGACCAAAAAGTTCATTTGGCTTTTTCCATACAATGGCTCTAGTAGCACTTAGTTGTCTTTAACTTCATTCAAAAAATTTTGTTAGACTGTATTATGACAGCTGTCATATTAGCATGCATTTAAAAAAAACATCAAAATGGGTGAATTTTTGTGCAGCCATTTTAATACTGAATTTGGAAGAAAATATGCAACATTTTCAGCATATTATGCTTTACTATTTTCAGAAAGGTAAAAATGCAACTGAATCGCATAAAAAGACTTGTGCAGTGTACAGAGAAGGTGCTGTGACTGATCAAATGTGTCAAAAGTAGTTTGAGAAGTTTCATGCTGGAGATTTCTCACTGGACGATGCTCCACGGTCGGGTGGACCACTTGAAGTTGACAGCGATCAAATTGAGACATTAACTGAGAACAACCAGTGTTCTACCATGTAGAACACTGGGAGATAGGAGAACATTGGGAGAACATGGGAGATAGTCGACATACTCAAAATATCCAAATAATGAAGTTACTGGCGAAAATGAAAAATGAGTCTTCTATTTTACAGAAAAAACTAAATGGACTTTTTGGCCAACCCAACACTATGAAAAAAACTATGGAATACAAATATATGAAGCTGTTTCACTGCCTGGTTCTCACTGTTTTAGCTAAGACAATCTGAATCAAGATCCTGCTAAGAGAATCAGAGAGAAAAATGATACCCACGGACTTGTAATGCATTTATTCTCCCTCCTTTTTCTGACAGCCATCGAAAGGCTCACATTTTCTTCCCTTGTCTATATATAAAGTTGATTTCCCCCTGGATGATTCATTCCCTGATACATTGACTATTCCAAGTTCCACAGAGCTGCCTCTTGGCAGCCAAAGGAGGAACTTACCCACAATGCTATCAACCTGAGCATCTGCTGCGTTAGCTGCACCACCCCGATGATCCAAGAGGGATTCAGTCCTATCTGCTGCTGGCAAACAGGGCTGCTGTTGAGGGAAACACACACAAGCAATAATTCAATAGCAGGCTACTTCAGAACTAAACCCAGAAGGCTCACACTTCCACCCACTGGCTGCCTTTAGAGAAGCAGTAGTAGGAGCTAGAGATAAGGGGAGATGGAAGAAGGTTGACATCACATTAAAAAAAAGATAAAACAGCTAAAAATTCACTAACTCAGGAGTATTTTTCCTCAAGGAAATACTAGAAAGTGCCATGATGTTGCTACTGACTATTAAAACATATTGTTTGTTGTGCTTAAGATCCATGTTTTATTTGAAGTGTGAAAATGAACATGACCCTAACACAAACAGCTCAGACTGATGAGAAAGATGCCTGGACAGCCGGCGCAGCACCGTCTGCGTGCCCTTGCCTCCAGCACACTGACCAAGGCAAATCTGGCCCAAAGTCCTGGATGACAAAGTGTTGAAATCAGTCTAACAGGCTCCTCAAGGGCAAGGATCCTGCCTCAGATTTGTACAGGGCCTTGTACATGGGAAGTACTGAAAAAGAACTGTGATTTCATTTTATATTTAAAGATCTGGAGGCAACTTTATGCCTAAAGGAAACCCTAGCGCTTTTTGAAAAGCAGTCTAGCAAGAAAACATGAAACCAGCCAGACTGCAAACATCCTGAAAGGGCTCACTGATCTGACGCTAAAGCACGCTTCTCGCAACAGGCACGAGGCACAAGAGGACTGTTTTAGGTTCTCCTTTTATCTATTTTTAATATTCCATCACTTCTTAAATGGAAAGAAAAAATGATAAATGGTGTAAAGATCCATAATTACTGGCAGAAATTAAAGCCAAAGAGGGGAAAAGATCAAGGAAAAACCTTTACCTGTGAGTGACAGGTGTCTGCTGATGCAATGCTATGGTTTGCTCCAGCCAGTGAGCTGAGAAGGCTAAAGCCTTGGCTCCTATCTGAAAAGGAAAAATACAATCACTGAAGTTTTTAATTTCTATTTTAAATTCTGAAAATGACTGGATGAAGAAACAATGGCCATTTTTTCCTTATAATAGTTCTAACTATAAAATATAGCTTCTACCAATTATCACACTCACTAAATTCTGGATAGTTTTAAAATATCGGAGTATTTGTTATAATGGCAGGATCACCAGAACAAATAAAATGCCACTCAGTTCCATGTGCAAAGATTAACAGCATCGATGGTTTAATAGTCACTATGAACTAATAATATTCCAGTGTTTTAAATGGAAGAGGAACATGAATGCTTTTTTGAAATAAAGCTCTAATTTTGATATACAAGGTCTGTCCGGAAAAAGTCCAGCCATTGTTAATATAACACGAATAGTCTGCACATCAATGTAACCTGAAAGCCAAGGAGAGTGAACTGGAATGCGCATGCGCGAACAATGACAAATTCACTCTGCTAGTTAGTGGGGGTGGTAGATGCCACTCAGTGAGCATGCTCACTGCGGGGACATCACATTCAAAATGAGTAAAGCAATGAATCTGCATCAAATTTTGTGGTAAGCTTGAACATTCCTCCATGGAAACTATTCAGATGATTCAGAAGACCACAGCTCTGGGCACCTGGTGACTGGCAGCTTCATCATGATAATGTGCCTGCTCATGCATCACATCTCGTGAAGAGTTTTTTAGGGAAACATCAAATTGCCCAGGTGACTCAACCCCCTTACAGCCCAGATTTAGTGCCCTGTGACTCCTGGCTTTTCCCAAAACTAAAAAATCACCTTTGAAAGGGAAGAGATTTCTGACCCTTGAGACTAAGGAAAATATGACGGGGCAGCGGATGGTGACTGGGAGAACTGTGTGAGGTCCCAAGTGCCCACTTTGAAGGGGTTGAGGCGTTGCTGTCCTATGTACAGTGTTTCTTGTATCTTCAATAAACACCTCTATTCTTCATAGTACGTGGCTGGATACTTTCTGGACAGACCTTGTAAATGGGCCACTTTCAGTTAAGGCTCCCAATACTTTCAATATTTGTATTTACAATTGAGGACAAATGCAGAGCAGAACATCTAGAACTGATGAAAGTAAAGGTCCCAGCCCTGATCTGATAGTGTTCCCTAAAAGCACCTGGACACTTGTTAAAACTACCCCAATATTCAGTAGACAGTACGCACCCTACTTCAGACTGAGACAGAATCTCTGGGACACAGGTCAAGGAAATGGGAATTTTACTGAGTCCTCTAGGAGAGTCTTAGGATCAGGGAAACTGAAAACAAAACGTAACAAAACACTGCTGCAGAGCAGAACACGAAACCCACATTTCAGGAATCTAACAGTACAGAAGTCAAAAAACTCTCTCAAAAAGACACCCTCCTCCCACCTTGCCTTTCCTCTCCCTATCTCTTACTGAACCCAGTGTCATCTCTAAGCCACTGTTAAACTTCCCCACCAGGTGAAACCTGTTGGCAGATGCTCAGTCACACAGAGGTACCAAAGAGAACCCCCTGCAGTCTCAGTCCTCTTCCCTTTTGCTGGAGGGGATTTGCCTTTTAAAACTGGACAAAGCCCATCTGTGGTTCCCTGGATCCAGAGCTGCAGCTTGCTCCAGCCTGACCTCTCACCACAGGGGCAGCAGCCTAGCTTCCCCACTGAGTGCGGCTATCAACCCAGAACCTAAGCGTTCAGTTCTGAAAGCCCGCTGCTGCCCAGCTGCTACTGCTGCTCTACAACCTCAACTGTGGCAGCAGGGTCACAGGTGCATGTGCACTCCTGGAACCCCGTTTCACATCCTTACCCACTTGCTCACCCTGCTAGAACTCTCCAGGCCAAATGCCTGGGTGTGCCCCATCCAAGGACCAGGCACTGAGGTTTCTCACTGAGGGAGGCCGAGGAGGCTCAGTGGCTGGGAAGCAGATGCTTGTGGTGTCCCACACTGATGGCTTCACAGAAACTGGGGAGGTTAATTCAAACATTAACATAATTTTTCTTTTTTTTTTTGGCCAGTGTGCTATAGACCTCACAGCAGTTGCCTGCAATTATGCAATACTTGGACAGGGATTTCACATGTCATGAGGATACATGAGGGCTCTTATAAGATACTTTAGGCTCTTTGTACAAAAGACATTCATTATCTGAGTAACAGAGTACTGCTGTAAAAGAGCACCTACTTCTATTACTGGAAATAACTTGGATTTAGGGTAATTTTCAAGTCCAATTCACAAATCTCTCCATATTCCAATTCCACAGCTTATGTTTTTCCTCTGCTAGGCATGGCCAAAACTTGGCAGGCCAGCCTGCAATCCATGATGACTGAGGCCATAACGTCGGCTGGGGCACGCTATTGGACCATGCAGTCTACTTCAAATGCCACATTCTTACAGTGGCCATCTCCGCGGAGGCGACTGGGATGGCAGGGGTGAGGCAGAGGGGGAGCTGGGCCTGTCCTGTACATGGTAAACCTTTGTGTACCTTCTGACCTCATTTCATGTTCATGTGTTTACCTATTCAAAGAGATTTCTTCTATTGTTTATGCTATACAGTTGCTCTGCCTTTTTTTCCCAAAGAGATTTGTTTTCAATTTAACAATTATGTGCTAAGTGTATTTTACCACAATAAAAAAAATGAGAGCCTCAATTTTTCAAAATTATGAAGGAGTCAGAATAGGGGGAAGAGAACTGGGCCAGGTCAGCAAGTCTGGCTTTCACTCCTGGCTCTCTGCCCCGCCCCCCCCGCCCCGCCCCGCCCCGCCCCGCCCCTCTGTGCCATCCTGCACAAATTAATCAATCTTTCTGCGCCTTCATGTTCTGTCCTGTAAAGTAAGAGGGTTGCTATGCATGGTTGTTAAAGTCCATTCTGCTCTAGAAGTTTGTGATTTTATAAAGAGGCATTATCTTCTCTTGACAGTAAGTTTGAGTTAGCTGGGATTACATATTTAAAAAAATTACTTAATAGAGAGAAAAACAAGAACCTTAAATTTCAGAATCCTTTTAAGGTTTACAGAAGACTGAGCTTATAATCAGTTCTGGGCTAATTAAGACAGGCTGGAAGGACTTTTGCTTGGTGTTTCCTTACAAACAAAGGAGGATGTAGTTAGCTGAGAGTTCACTGTGTTCCTACTGCTTATATTTTAAGGAAGTTAGAAACACGTAAATTTTCACAATTAGTAAACAATTCATTTTTGTTTATCCAAAGTGGACTGCTTGTACATTAATGTTGTTCAAAAATCTTGGATTTTATTTCATACATTTACAATTTTAAAGAAACTCTCAGTTTTGCTTAGTTCGATATTTAGCAAAATTCTGCCCATGTGCACCCCCTGTAAAACTACGCTTCCTGTAGAAAAGGGATACATAAATCTTCCCTTGTTTGCCAGATTTTTCTCCACAGGATTCAGGGCACGGAAATATCATCCCTAGTTAGATGATAGTTCTTGAAATTAGCTTTAGTATCTCTGGTTCTATCGATGCCACAAAATACTAGACACAGAAGGAATAAATTAATCCACCTACTCAACTGATTCTTCTAGGACTTCAGAGCTGCAGAAGGAGGAAGCTGTTAAGTAAATTACTCTGAAAGGCATTGTAAGTATATCAAACTCTGGCTTTAAAGACATGTAATTCAGTTTCAGCAGACTAGTAAATTGGCACCAGTGGAACAATAGATAAAAATGACAGTGCACTGAAAAAAGAATCCAGTGATGCTGGTCATTACTATTAGCATTAGAATTCTTCAGGAAGTGCCGGAAACAAAACTATAGCCTCTAGAATAAAGATTTAAAATAAGAGATTCTCAAACCTTGGAAGGAGCTTTTAACATTTATTTTTAAATAAAAGTTTAAATTGTTTTTGAAACATATGAAATTGTGTGCTTATCTCTTTACAAATCTGAAGGCACACTGTTATTTTAGAAACAAAATTCACTTCACAGAGCGATTCTGCCATGCATTCCATGAGACATTCAGGTAATTAAAAACCCAGGCAAAGGAAATTGTAGGAAATTGGGGGAAAGTCAAAGTCATTCTTAAAAAAAGCATTTTTTCCTTCTCATTTTTCTGCTCTTCTCTGCTATTTAATCAGAACAGTATGATAAGCCTATGAGTTTGAAGATAAATAAAGGCATGGGTTTGAATCCTCGTTCTGGTTACTTTGTGGTCTTACACAAGTTACGCCCTCTCTGTACCTCAGGTTCTACACTTACGCAGAGGGTGTGACAACACTTACCTTGCAGAACTATTGGAAGGATTAATAATCATAATAGCTAACATTTACTGAGGACTAACTACAGGCTGGGGTGAAAGTAGGTTTACAGTTGTTCATACGGAAAATACAGTAAGTAGTAATACAAGAATGAGCTGTTTCACGTACTCACAACTGCAAACCTGCTTTTGCCCTACCCTGTGTGTGCAAGTTAACATTCTTGGTGCCGAACATCCACTATGTCTTTGACCCTCTCTACAACCAAAGTAAGCCTTCCATACACACATACACACAAATAGAAACTAACATGTACCTCCTTTAGTTTCACAGAGGATTTATTTTATTATTCTTTTTCACAGAGTAAACTATAACTGAGAGATAAATAACTTGTCCAAGGTCACATAACTAGAACCTGAACATGAAATCCAGATCTCTCTGATTTTAAATTCCTAACTCTTTCCATTAAGCCCAGAGGTAACAGGTAAAGAACAAAAGTTGAGACAGTCAATGCTTAACATACAAATATTGTATATGACACAAACTTGGGTCAAACGCAAAAAAAAAAAATGTCTTTTATACACATATAGTTCTCTTTTACCAGTAATCTTTTACTACAGGGGTGTCAAATTCATTTTTACCAGGGGCCACATCAGCCTCGTGGTTGCCTTCAAAGGGCCAAATATAATTTTAGGACTGTATAAATATAACTACTCCTTAACTAGGGGCAAGGAGCTCGGTGCTGCTGCTGGATCAAACAAGGTGGAGGGCCGGATTCAGCCTGCAGGCCTTGT